CTATGCCAGCAGGAAACTGACCAATCAGAACGGAGGAAGTACCAGCCACCTCATTTAATATGCACAGATTCCACAGAATTTCAAATTTAGCTTTGACATACAAGTATAAACAAAATTTGATGAATTTTCAAAAATGGTTACAAATTTTGAAGCATAAGAGCATGAGCATTCATAACAATTAACATTTCTATCAATTAAAAAATCTATTTAAAGCATGAACATTAGAGATAAATATCTGATTACTCTTTAGTTAATCCTGTAATACGACAGTATCATATTACACATATACATATATAAAATGACTAATTGTCTTCTACCGAAAGAAAAAAAACATAAACATCTGATGATGAAACTTTAAAACAATTAATGCTTAAACATCATTTAGATAAAATTTTCCATGAAAAAATCAAATCTATTTGTAAAGCAATGTTCTGGTTCGCAAACCTTGTAAACTATGCACATATTTTTTTTTTGTCCACTCTGATATTTGATGTATGAAAATATATTGGAATAAATGATGGCAAAGCATTAAAAAATGGAATTTCTTTTTAAAAATTAGAATCCAATATTGTCTATGAGTTTGATAAAAAAAAAAATATCATAACAAATTTACAAAAATGAAGTGAGAACACATTTTGTTTTTTTAAAAGATGTATAAAATGAATGGTAAAGACAATTCTACTTTCCCCGAATGTAGGTCAACTTTGTTAAAATTTGTTAATTGATCTTGAAATAAGCCAAAGTGACAAACATGTTACTCTGTCTAGTTGGGCTTATTACCAGACATGGACTTATTGAAGAGTAAGTACAATAAAATCAGACATCTATTTATTTACCAACATTAAATTTATATACCAGTGTAGCATGGTATTGTGAAGCAAGGGGAAATGAACCGGGTCAAAATACCATAATGGTATTAAAAAGTTTCAACATGCGTAGTATGACAGGAAGTGTACATGGAGCTTTGTGATTTTTAAAAAATGATGAGAGATTTATATCACAACCTGTGAAGAATACTGAGACAACTTGTGTGTTCCTTCATTCAATGGAAAAATAAGAGATTTATTATTTTCTATTTGATCTTTGATTTGTGAAACTCATCAACAGTTCTTCATTTAAGCTAACCAAAGGTTTGCTAAACTTAAAACTTCATACAACTTGTTTCATAAATTCATATATCATAAAGAATCTCATGTTAGATTCTATATATGTGTATCCAAATGTATCATTTATCTTGTCTTTCAAGTAATGTACAATACATGTACAATAAACAAGAATATCGTTGTCCGAACGAAAGTCATCAGCATTGCCTAAAAGCTACTGAAAAATGACCAGGTTAGAGTTTAAGTTGTTTCATAGGAATGCAAAAACTTTAGATTAATTTACAAAATTAAATTACAAAAAAAGTAAAAATCATTAATTTCAGTATTTCAAAACATATTTTAAACAATAAAATACAACTTATAAACATCAGAAAAGTGAATACATGTATACTGAAAAATAAAATGTAAAAAATCTGTAACTATTTGGACGGAACATATTTATAACATTACTGTTTCAGATACTGTTATAGATATTGTATTAGATATTAATAAATTATTTTAAAATTAAGAGAAGAAATTAGACTAGATGGAAAGAATATTAATATGACATTCAGCTTTCAGAGCCATTCTAAAGCTTTAGCTCAAATTGATTTTCTTAACATGTGCCAAACATACAGTCTTTTGAATATATGGAATATCTCAGGATCCCTGCCTCTATTTACTATGTAGATATTTTTTTCACTTTGTATAAATATTCGCCATCTTGCGATGTAAGTAATTCACCATAACTCTTCATGTTTTGTTGGAACTATTGAAGAAACAATTGGATTTTGATGACCACCTCCATAACACACATCAAATATCATAAACTGACTGATACAAATGTTAGGACAAAATAAAGGTAATTTCTTAAACACCAAAATATCCACATCAACCAACAACAAAAATCACAACTTTTTATCTAGCTATGGAGACGCAAAGTGGTATAATATCATTACATAACAATATGAAGATCAATGTATTTATTTTACCAGGATTTCTACGGCTATGATTTTTTTCTTTGTCAGAAACAAAGAATATGTCTTTTCAGATTACCTATGATATTAACCTGACAAAAGATTGAAAACAGAATGTGTTTATTTATACATTCAAAAAGAATATAGACATTTTGTGGACAAGATGACATACTTCTGTCACTTTACTCATCACTGATACAAATAAAGCTCAATGAAAAATACACATGAATATGCACGAATTCATATTATCAACTTTGAAAATTCCAAGAAGTCCTGATAAGCTTTGCTTTATAAATGGAATGCAACAAACAAGAATATGTTATCACATCCTGAAGATTAAGGTACAAAAATAGATAACCCAAGTTGTAAAAAGGATAATGAATATTCATAACATTAATGAATATTCATTATAATGCTTCATGAATTTTCATCACTTTATGAATATTCATAACTCTAACAATTATATCAGGTATACAACATATACACATTACCATGATACTCTCTAATCATATTTACATACTTAAATACAATTTTATAAAAAAGGTATCATTTCATGAAAAGTTTCCTGCTATGAGAAATAACGGGCTTGATAAGGCAACATCTGGATTCTATATAGTGAAAAAACATCTATAAAAAGCTAATATAGTATGGGACTTTGGATGAATCACATAAATTTTTCACATTTACAATATCCAATAAGTTCACAAATTTGTATTATCAATTTAATAAAAAATTATTTGAAAGAAAAAAAAATCAGCTGTTGAACTAATCTGGAAGCCAACTTACCAATAAAATTAGTTAATATTCACTTGTTGTTCAGTTAAAATCATCAATTTAAATTAAGCCCTCGGAAGTTTACATAGTACTATGTAAGTTATTTGTGTTCTGTGATTTGATGGTTGTCAACAGAATCGCGAAGTTAAAAAAATATACACACATCTGTTATTCATACAAATCAAAAGCAAAGAAGCTGTCGCTTCCAAAGCATGAAAACATTTAGAATATTTATCTACCACATGGGCATACATGGTTTTATGTGTAATGGTTTATAACAGAATAAACATTATAAAAAAAATTCATAAGAATCCTACGCATTCTGTAACAGGGAGACAGATCACATGTCCATGTAAATCAATTAAGTACAGTCGAACCTCGTAATCTCACGGTTAACAGGACTGATGAAAAGTATCCAAGTCTTAAATTTTAAGTAAGCTTAAATACATAGTGTCAAATAGGCCGGGACCAACAAAATACTTTGAATCATACAGGGTCTTTGAGTTATGAGAGTTCAAGGTTCAACTGTATTTGCAAAAAAAAAAGTTTTTACAAGACTTGCTGTATCACAGTTTGCAAAATGTCAACAGTATTTATATGTACATAAAGTCTACACAACAACAAGTATATTTACCCTTTTAAGCAACACCCTCACTTACTTTCCCAAAAACCAGTTCTCAGGGAAACTTCAGCTTCTCTTCGGGTAATATCATAAACTACGATCATTTCAATATGTAAATGGTTATAATTCAAAACTGTTAAAAAGTCTATTTCTATTTTTATAATCTTAAAAATAAACCATTAAAACAAAATAAATGAAATCACAAAATAGCTTTTAAGTACATGTTATATATATCACTTTTCATAAAAAAAAAAAAAGAAATAAAAGTTTGTAAAAATTATGATCAATATAGGAATGACGAAATTTTTTAAAAGTTAAAAATACTTAGATGCATACTTAATAAATGTATTCCCACTGATAAACCCTACATTCCTAGATGTGCAGTGTAGTCTATCATATATTTTGTCTATTTGTGGTGTGGATATATTCAACCTGAGACACCTAAGAGCTTACAGGGGAAATCTTAATACCAGTAATTTCTATGACTAGCTTGAACAAATCTACATCTGACAGAAAAAATTACATAAACTGTCAATGCAATATCAGGCATACCGTATTTGACCTGATAAGCACCTCGTCCCTTCATAATGTGACCTTTTCCGAGAGTATTATCCTTTCATTATAATCAACAGACTCACATGTGTAAGATTTTTCAATCAAGACATTTTTTTCTTTTTCTCTTTAAAACTTTAAATCCTAAATTGATAAGAAGGTAAGTTCTCAGGGTGCTCATTGGGACAAAATGGTAACATGAATTTTATCATTGCAAATTCTCCCATGAAATTTGGTGGTATACTTTTTGTACACATATATACATGTATATTATTTACTTGTTAAAAAGATTATGCTGTATATACTACTGGGGGAAAATACGTAAAAAAAATCCTATTCTGTTCTTATAAGTATTTCAATCTGACAACTATACATAATTAAATGAATAAGATATTGCCATGGAAAAATGATTCCCACTTTAGGTATACTAACCTATCATACATTACCTAATCAATGAGAAGATGTGGAATTTCTAGCTGAAAATATTTTACTAACATATTTCTGAAAATAAGAAAAAAAAACTGAATCTTTATCTTTTCATCTATGATGCAGCATCCTCCACAAAAACAGAAAAGGAACTCTACTTCTGTTATCATATTTGGGTATATACAGTACATATATTGCAATGGCTATATTTCATTTGTAAGCACTTTTTATGTACTAAGAATATTTTTCTGGCTTTTTATGATTAAAAAGTGGAGAGAGTACTCAAAGAAATATTTCTCTGCTGGTATAAAATGTTTAATCATCAGCTGATAGCAGTTTTTTTGCTTTCTTTCATAAGAAAGTATAACCATAAGTCAAAATACACCAAACAGTGCTCCCTTAGAAGCGTGATGAAGAACTTTCCCATCCCCTAAGTTAAAATGGACACCTGAACTCCAGTTCATCTACTTAATATCTACCTACAGTACAAAATTACCGCGGGGTTTCAAGCACCAAATTTCTATCTAATATGTTAAGAATGAATCACACCCTTGTGATGAGAGCTGACTACTTGGATTGGACAGGTGCTGAATTTTTATTGTCTCCCTCCAGAGGCATGGCCAACTCTGGTGGACCATAAGGATCAACCTGCAAGGGAGATAATTCATGTATTAACAAATGCTCTGTCATTCCAAATCCAGTGCAATATGTATATCGTTAATTGATTATTAAAATAAAGTCCTTTTATCTTAAAAATCTTTTCATCTATGTACAATGTATAATTAAGGTTATGTAAAGATGTATATAACATGAATACTTTTTGCATAAATTCATTAGAAAATTAACCTTACAATACCAATCACCATCTTAAATATGTTCTCGATATTATGAACATGATTTTTAGCCGTGCAGAGTTGTAATAAGAGTAAGTTGATCAAATATCATAATTATCCTTAAAGACAATATTTAACAAAAAATTTTCCCTCACAGTAAATTCATTTAAATGATCAGAACCTAAGACAAAATCCACACAAAGAATGAATCAAAATGTAAAATCATCACATCAAAAAGGGGGAAATATAGGTCACTGTGACTTTTAGTGAATATTGTGTTGTCAAAAAGAAATAACTTTAGCCCAAAATATAAATAAAATACCAAAGGTATTTCATGAAGAAGATGCAGTGACCATAGACAGATACTCACTGAATGCAAACACTTCATGCTACTCTTTTAACAATGTTCTAGGGCATTAAATCCCAGGAGGGTAGTATATATACTCACATAAACCTTGGGGTTGGGCTGTGCCTCAACCACAAAATCTGTTCCCTGAGGACCATACTCCTTACGTGCACGTGCCCAGTTGGCCTTAATTTCAACTCCATCCAAGGAGGAAAGTGGACGGACAAATGGTTTTCCTCCAGACACACATAATAGTTCATCACGATTTATTTCATCAAAATCTACTATCTGAAATTTAAAAAAAAATTGCTGTTAGTTATCTGGCAATGTGTCCAACAGTGTATAATGTGTGAAAGCCAGTCTGCGTTTAGTGCTGTTTCAGTAGAACTGACAACCAACGCTAAAACACAGCCTTGTAGTAAGTTCCCTACACCGAGGTCAGCATTTATAATCTGCTAAAAAACCCCACCCAATTTAGTGATGTTGTTACCATATCTCTCTTACAATAAGTCCATGCTTGGTAATAAGCCCATCCACATCTATAGCAATTAATATAGCAATGTCGACTACTGCCATATTGTACTGTATAGTTTGTAATAATCACAAGGGATTTGATTTCACTCTATTTGATAAAGATAATCAGAAATTTGATACCCAGAAAACATTTTTACAGTGAATCCTGAGTTTATTCGGAGATAAATGTGGTATGGATATGCTTTCATACATAAATCAAATAATAAAATATTTATGTGCAAATAGTTAAGAAAAATAAAGTACTTAAAGAAACAAAATCTACATACAAGTCTGCCTTCCATGTTGTAAAGGTACTTGGCAGGCTGCCACATTCCGAGCCTCAGTTTGGCACTGTCCAATACTTGTTCAATGGTGTCACCCCAGACATATGTTGCCCGTTCTACACTCTCGCCATTAGGGTACACCAACACTCGTTTCTGTAATAACAGTACATTGTCTGACATACAATATCCCCAGATAAACCTCACACTGAGATATAAAACGGGTTAGAAATAGTCAGTCTTGTGAGTGGGGCTAAAGGTGACATTAAGACAGCACTGGAGATAGTTCAAAGTAATCTACAAAATGGGTATGATGTAAGATACTGGTGTGAAAATTCTAAAAAAAATCTTTTTTTGAAAAATTAACCATTATGATCAACATAATACAATTAGGGATTCCACAGTGATGACATAGGGGTTAAAAGGTTGCAATTTATGTGACCTCATTATGACTTGTGTGACCCTTGCATGACCTCTGAGACCATAGTATGATCTATATGACTTACCGTGTTAGGTTGTCTGTACAGGCGACCACTGATGTTCACCAATGGCTTCTTCTTTTCTTTTTGGTTGTTTTTCACTTCAGCCAAATGTGTCTGTCGAAAAAAAAATGTTTACATGATTATACGACACAATATGAAAAAGTACTGTTCAACATATCAAATAAAACTAACCATACGGTAATGGTTTTTAGATTCTTATTTAATAAATAAAGTTGATATTACACATCTTAAGTCCTGATAGAATGTAATTATGGAAAAGTTTTTTACAACAGCTTCCTTAAATTGATGGGCAGAGTCACTACCACTATCTATTATTTACAGACATTACAAGTTACTATGTACTGATGGTTGCTGACTGTTGGTACTATTACATCTAGTGTATGATCTGTGTTGCTATGGTTACCTCTTGTTAATAGTTACTGTGTTGCTATGGCTACCACTAGTTTGTGGACTGTGTTGCTATGGTTACCTCTAGTTTATGGACTGTATTGCTATGGATACCTCTTGTTACATAATATGCTACTATGGTTACCTTAACATCATGGACTGTGTTGCTATGGATACATCTGGTTGCAGACTGTGTTGCTATGTTTATCTCTAGTTTATGGAGTATACTGTTATGGTTACTGTAGTTACCTCCAGTTTATGGACTGTGTCATGCTTCATCTGTTCTTCCACAGTGACGTCCTGCCAGTGACCTTCAATCACAACTGGTTGTTGACTACTACGAGTGGACCGATACTTTCCTGGACTCCTGTCTTCCATTCGCCTCGCTGAAAGGTCAGAAGAACAACAATGTCAAAGGAATTTTTCTGGATTGTTTTGTATTTAGGAAAGAAAGCAACATACATTTGAATGTTACAAGATGGCAGAGGAATATTACCAACAAGTCTTTCAATCAGGCCATTTAAAAAATTAAATCTGCACTGTTTACTATAGTAGATTATATTGCTAGACTATTTAGGCTTGAAAGTCATCATTTTGGGACAAGATTTCAACAGCGTAAATAAAGAGAGGAACTAGAAAACCCTTGTATGCCATCCTCAAAAGCATATAAGTATGACTGCTTAATCAATTTGCAGAAGACTGCTACTATTGTGAAAAAGGAAAACTGCCCCTTAAATCTAGGAAAAATATAACATTATTTCAAGCTCTTGACAGCAACCTTTTATTGCGATATCAACAAATACTTAATGAAAATAATTTCACTTGTAACTTTCAGTTGATAGGACATACCATTCAATATTAAAAAAAACATATTTGATTGTTTCAATCACCCACAAGAAGATTCTTACCTCGCATATTTCGTAAAATGTGTTTTTCGATGTCCAGCTCTAAAGATACAGTGGACCTGAATGCCCTCTTCTTCACCTGGCTCTCCATCTTAGACTCAACTTTCTCTGGCGGGATGAACTCCTTGCCGCTTGACACCCAGACTTCGATTGGGTAGCGCAGAATGACATCCTCTGAAGGAACGGTGACTTGGTTGAGCAGTTTTTGTCGTTCACGGTTCACTTTGTCTGATTCCTGTTGATCGCCTTCTGTTTCACAGAAAAGTTAACCATTAATTAATTCTATATATTAAGAGGACATGTATTCAACAACTTGTGTTCATGATTTCTTTAAAAAAAAGCAATTAACAGTGCATACAGTTTGAATACATAACATAACCACCCCCTCCTCAATTCCTCAACCAATGCCTGAAACTTCAGCAAATGTTTACTTTTTTAAAAAAAATGAATCTTAAGTGAGTTTCCATTTTATATCAATATCCAGAAACAAGTTTCAGTTAAGAATTTTCTTACAGACGGAAACTGTCGAGTTAAAACGAAAACTTTCTGACGTTCTTTGTAAAATTTGTATGATATTGAAACAAATTTAGGTTCTTTTTTATGGCGTAATGTGTTTGGGAAACAGCAGAAGATATGCTTTTCCATATACAAAAGAGTATTATGATGGATTCAATTTGTTCTCAAACTCAATGATGATATCTTTTAATGATAAATTAAAAAACCATAATTTCATGATGTCATAACAAATCAGAAGAACAATATTTCCTATAATTGTTTACAATTCCTACCTGCGGTTTCCGTGTAGAGGGCGCCACCACTTGGACTATCTTGGCCTTCACCTTCTCCTCTCTCCTGCTGTCTAGTTTTGTTTTCAGAATACTCAACTCTCCAGACGCCAGATGCTAAGATGGAGGTTGAAACACCAATATAATTAATGTTAAATGGTGATGGATCTTTCCAGGACATGACCGTCTGCCATTCCTCGTTCAATTCCTTATACAAACTTATCTCTCCCTCTTCCCAGGTAATGAGAAACTTTTTAAACGATCCGCCATCCAGTATTCTTCCATCATATTCTACTCTATTCACACCTTCTTTTTTGTTACGGATAGCAGACTTAGCATTGTTGTTTGTTCCGATGACAACTTCATACATTTTTTTGTCCTTTTCATCCGAATCTTCTTCCATTAATGCAATGTGGGCATCATTACAGGCGCGTACTTCAAACATGAAATGCTTATCTTGCCCCAGTTCGTAGTTGTGGTCGCTGAGTTTGGTGTAGGTGTAGTTGATACCACTCTGTATCTTGGTGCGGAGAGTGATCGTTTTAATTTCATCTTCTTCCTCCTCCTCTTGAATGGGCTCTGGTTGTTTATTTTCAATTGTTCTTTGTGGAGGTTGTTGTGTTTCGTCCTCATTTTCTTCTTCCATTTTCCTTTCCTGTCCGTCAGAGCCTGTTAAAAAATTAAGAAATCGTAAAAACAGAATTTATTTTTTATTTTTGCTAATCCACATCACAAGCAGTAATCTGTACCATGAGTTGACCTGGAAGGTCACAAAACTGATGACATACCCTACAATTACTGATGACATACCCTACAATTACTGATGACATCAAACACAGCAAGTTCTGATGACATTATATACAACAACTTCAACTGTAACTGATAGTAATTCTGATAATAACCACTAGATTTTTACCTGCCATGATCTTCTGCAGCTGGTCAGCCATTAGTGATGTGTAGTTATTGATGGCCCAGTCCTTTAGGTCATCAATTTCTAGCACCATTGTACCATCCTCAGTGAAAATCTTCTGTGCAGCATTGGCCATACCAAGTTTATATGTACATTGTCCCAGGATCTATAGTAAGAAAAATCACACTTGAAACCAATTTTGTTTAACCAGCTTCTTCCATCTCTTTAAGAATTATGTTCTTTATCTCCGTTCCTATCCTCAAGTTTGAATCGCAATTTACAAATTTTCAACAAGTTTCTCCAAAATAAACTGTCGTAAAATTTTTCATTTTTGTGGTGAGGTTATTTTCATTGATTTTGTGAGTACTCTTAATTGATGATTTCATGTATCCATGAACTGTTAAAGTAAAGTAATGTATGGAAGATTGAGTCCCACCAAAAATACATGATTTCATAGTATGTGGTATATCTATATGGTTTTTTAAGGGCTTTCCGATAGAATCTGTATTTTTCACTTCAATGAAGCTGTGGATGGTTTTAATAGGATCACAAATCTTAAATCCTGCAGTATCTATCAAAATTTCACAAAATTTAGACATTTCTGATAATTGATTGGAAAATTAATTGGTGCCATGGTACCTGAATGACTTACTCCCTCGATACAGACGGTGAAGGTAGTTAACGACTTACCCCCTCTATACTGGAGCCACAGATAAGTTTGCCCTGATGCAGGCGACCTTCTCCATTTTTGTACGCCATTATTTTCATTGTTATAGGTGTCTTGGCGACTGAGATCTCCTTAGCAATGGTACGGACACTTGTCTCCTCACGGAGCTTCGTTAGTGTGTCCTCCCAGTTTTCTAATGTTAGTTCTGCCTCATGTTCTGACAGATCTACTTTTCCGTTCAACACACGGAAACTTCCAATTTGCTGTAGTTTTAGTTTCTTAGCTACAAAAATAATCGTAAAACCTTTTTGGATGTTTTTGCTATTTCTAACACAAGAATAATGATGTTTGCATGTAGAGTTTGTCCTCAGAAAATATCTACCAGGTACATGATTATTTGTATGCTTAAGGTATATTTGAAAATTTAAGATCCAAGGTGTTGAATGTCAAAACTAATCGCATTACAGTTTTTACTTACATCTAAACATACTTCCATGATTTAACAATTTCTTTCACTATACTATTTTTTATTTTTCCCAAGAGCAACATATATGAAAGGGATTATATCAAAGAATCCATGAACAATGCATAATATTCTTGCAAATATCAATTTCTTAGGTTTAATATCTTCACAAATATTTTCTTGATACACTTTAAACAGAGTGTACTTTAGTTTTACATTATAATGATTCCCTGACTAAAGGTGTATTTGTTTTTCATGTGAATTGTCCTACCTTCTCCCATAGCACATGAAAATTCAGTGTTTTCACGGATCTTCTGCAGTTTGTAGCGCCCTCTCATGGCACGAGCACATGAAGTACACACTCGGATTTCTTTAATGTGTTGACGATCTGTAGGGGTTGCCATGGGAACCTCTGCAACGTACCCCTGTAAAAATGGCAATAATGGCAAAATTTACAAATAAATAAATAATGAAAAATAATTAATAAATTTTCAAACATTTTTTTTCTGTGTTTAATCTTTCAAGAATGAAAATTGAAACATAAGAAAATCTTGTGAGACATAAAAAAGTAGATTGATAAAAAATTGTTCAAATTTGATTCATTCTAGAAATGTCAAATTTTGATTTGGTTTCAAACATATGATATTACTGTATGCTGGGAAATGTTTGTCCCCATTTTATTTTCACCTTTTTCATCCAGGAATAGGGAGGGCAAATATAAGATATGGGCAAACATTTGTAACACTTACATAAACCTTTTATATAATCCTCAGAGGATGAAATGATCGTGACATGAATTCACATATAATGCTACACAGGCAAAAATAACCTGGGGTGAAAAAGCCCAGTACACAGTATGTGCTTCAGGAATAAGTTTCAAAGTGACTGAAGGAAGAGGTTCCTTTGATTAATTTTTTGCCAACCAAGATTTTAATTTTTTTTAACATAAACAATCCTGGAAATCTTCTCTGATGAGCTATTTCATCAAAAAAACATCTACAATGATTTCAGTGACTGACAAAATTAAAAAAGAGGAAGACAAAACTTAAATAAAACATTTTATCAATTTAAATCCATTTAACAATTGTTGATAAGATGGCTGACTTACAGGCTGGTCAATCTCGGTCTCCTGCGCAATGGAGTAGGTACAAACATCAGCTTTGTTTGCAGCAGTTATTTCTGAAATGTTTACAAAAAATATGACTATCTTATGAAAAGGACTTTAAGATAAACAAGATTTTTTTTTGAATATTGTTGAAGTTGAAGTCATATCTTCATTTTATCCAAATTTATTTAGGAATATTGTATAACCGTATTTTTTGTGGGGATCAAATTTTCTTGTTTTACAAAAGAAACATTTGGATTTTCATTGGCACTTTTTTGTCGATTTTGTGGATAATCTTTCACGCAAAATCCACTATAATCCATATCAATTATGATAAATTCATCATTTCATGGTCATATAAATTCATGCATTTAGACTAACCACAGATTCAATGAAAATAACAATTGTGCAGTAATGATACACTTAATTTATTTGGCAAAGAATTGACTGACAGATTTATGTTGTAAAACATAAAATGTGATTAAGAAAATAAATATTTTATCAATACTTTACTGATTTCCTAATAGACATATTGCCAAATATTCATCATAGATTATAATAAATAATTTAAAACGATATAAAAACAAATACTTCATTAAAAATTATTTGATCATTTATTTGAATTATTTAAGAAAATGTTTCCGACCAAGTAAATCATAAACCGGTACAATAATTTTTTCCATTGAACTTTATTCACAGATATAAAAAAATTCTAAGTTAAAACATTTTCTGGTTTCTTTACCTTTGTCATAGCGATTGGTTTTGAAGGCATGGATGTGCCCTGTTTCAGCATCATAGTGCCATCGCTGGTGAGACTTTCCATACATGTTGGTTTTACGTTGCTGAATGGTCACTGCACATCCTGAGTAGGTCAGCGTTCGTCCTTCCTCATCCTCTGAGAACGGTTCATTGGCCGGTAGTGAAACAGTCAGCACTGTCCTCTGTCCATGTTTTGATCGTATTTCTCTGTAATATCGAAAATATAAAATTAAGATGGATTTGAATCTAAAACAAAGGAATTCTGTTAACTGTTTTGAAATCTGCTAACTATTTGTAAAAAAAAATCAAATAATTTAAAAATATATTTCTCCTGCAAGAAGCCCTTGAAACTTATACTGTATTTCTGACTCAAAGTTTGGGTGGACTTTTTACTAGGCACTGAAAAAATCATTCGTTAGTAAGGTATGGTAAGCAGAAACAGACTATAGCTGATATCAAGTGATAGGAAACTGACTATAATGAAGCCAGGCTTTTGATCTTTTATCCAGTTTTTTTATAGGCAGCTGACAGAAATTCTGCTTACCCATTTTCTCTCATGATGAAACGTTGATGGATGTCATCAGGGCGACGTTTAACAAGTGTCACCTGACTGATGCGTCCTTCTTGCTCCTGGACACCTAAGACAAGGTTACGATTTGACTGGCAGGCAATGTAACCATCCTCAAACACAAATCGCTGGAGTGTATCCCTCGAGACTTTTGGGGTTGGAGCTGGCCTTAAAAATGATAAAATAAAAATATTAAACAAGGAATATGAATTTGAGAGATTCATTTTCGAAAACTATCATGAATTTTTTCTAGAATTACTTCAACAATAATTATGGAAAACTTACTTGTAACGCTCATACATCTCACGGTCTGTGTACTTATTTGCTTCAGGATCATCGTCAAGGTTACCGTTATCAACATTGACAAGTCGTTCCCAGGGCCACTTGAGCTGGTTTAGGCGTTGTTCTGATCTCTCATGAGCTATCTCATGGGCACTCCTGAGTAAAACAAATATTGATTGATGATGTAAATGGTGCAGGAGTTTAGTATGTCAATTGTCTGATATGTTAAGTACAATCTGAAAATCTGTCAGAGAGACCACCCCTGTTAAAAGGCCATCTGTGTAAAGACACCGCTTTAAAAAATTCAGGAAAAAAACTTTATGCTATCAACTGATTAAACTTCCCTGACCTCTTCATAGTTACTGAATGGTGAGAACTAATTCCTGTTGAAGTTTATTGTTAAACGTATATGGATTTGAAAAAAAGTGCAATATTTTGATGGTAGTTAAACTTTTACATAACCTACTACCTAAATAAACACACTTTAAATAATGTAAATCAAATAATGTAATTTGCATGTAAAGAATTTAGACAAATTTACCAGAGTCAACAATAACTTGAAATGAAAAAGTAACCAAATTTAAATTTAAAAAATGAACATTTCGAACAATGAGTTAACAATAAACAACAATAAAATACATGCTGTCATTAAAACAATATAAAATAATTTAAAAAATATAAATATATAAGTACTTATTTAATACATTTTCCATACAATTTCCTAGAGATTTTCAGTTGGTTTATAAAGATGATTTTGACATTGAAATTAAGCCTAATACAAACTCTGGCTAGTATACTCACTGTGCACCAAAGTCTAGAGATGTACGGAGCTCATTGTCCGTTACATTACTAGCGGCATCTGATCCTGCCTTGGATGAACGAGCATTGGAAGCTTTACTGTGTGCTTTGGATGCCTTGGATGACCGACTTTTGGTATCAAATTTATCATCATCATCTTGGTCATCCATTCCTGATCGCCATTGTTGATTGACAATGATAGGGTTACCGGACACAAGGTTACCCTCAACCTCCAAAACATAATCTGAAGGAGAAAAAATGTAAGTTCAAACATCAGTGTAATCTGTGCATTTGTTTTGTGCTGAAATTTAGTTTGATATTGTGTGTACAGAGGACATGAAATAAGGTAGGTCCAGTTATTTTCATATTCTTCACTTGTAAACAATGGATGCTATCAAACCTTTAACAATCATTTGATCACTAAATCATTGTGGCTTGTATTTTGATAACCTGATCACTCACTTTCTGGGTTGCGGAGAGCACAGTACTGACGGATCTTGGCTACATCTTGGGACAGCTGTGACAAGAGGAATCGACGTTGTTGCTCCGCTTTGGTCAATTTTGGGTCAGACCATGCCTCCCCACAAGACACATACACGATGTCATCTCGCTTCAGACGGGTCAGACTGAAGTGCTCGTTGCCATGCTGGTCAAACAGTCGACGGGCAGCAAACGGCATATCAAGCAGACTTGTACAGTGGTCCAGGAACTGAATGACATAAAGATGTAATTTGAAGGAAACAGCAGGTTTATCTCCCTTATTGAAGTAGGCCAGACAGAATTCATCACATAACTGGTTTATGCAGTATGAGTTATTTTAGAAATATATGAAAAATACTGAAAACTTCGACAGAATATTCTCTAGCTCTGGCTCTTGTTAAAGTTTAGAATGAAAAATAAATACTGGGTTTACTTCTGATAATCATGACAATTACAAAATTTATGAGACACTTCACCATCCCAACAGGTATTTACCAACAAAATTTGGCAAGTGTAGGTTGTAAAGTATAGAAAATGTACCCCAGGTTAAGAACACCTAATATGTGATGACAGAAAGCCATAATTATTCAGAAAGTTGAGTACAATATTCTATGTAAGTATTGTACATGTATCTAAGATATCATGAGATGATCTCACATGACTAAATTTGCAAATTGTACAGGAAAGCATATATTAAAAATTATCAATGTTTCTTAGAAAATTGCAGAGGGACCAACAGATTTGTGAACTAAAAGACAAACTTTCAGTGTTGCAAGGGGACTAATTAATGAAATAATTTTGAAAAACAGTAATTGATCTACCATGGCAAGTTCTAACTCCTCTTTCCCGTGTGAGACCTCCTCGTCCTCTGGCTGTGCTTCCTGACTTCCCTTCTGTTGACTCTTGTCTCCTTTCTCAGATCGCAGGTCCTTCACCATCTGTAAATTTTATTTTCAATAACTTAAACATTGTAATTGTCTGTATTTTTTGAGGAATTCTTATTTTTGCAACTTTTGGGTGTGAAATGAATTTGCAGAAACTAGATATTTCAAAAATACTGTAAAATCGTATATTTTTGTAGCGTTCATGATATTTTCCAAAAGACACTATTAAGTGTACTCTTGATTTTTTGGCTAAATTTAAATAAATAAATATACTTAATAAATTAACCTTTTAAAAGTTTGCGGACATAGAAATTTGTGGATAGAAAAGTACCCAGGAAGTCAATAATAGTAAACCCCGAATAAAATCAATGACATTATAGTAACGTTAATAAAGACAATCATCTTGTGGCTCATGAAGTTCAGGATAAACAAATCCATTCTGCTAAAAACTTTCAATAAAATTGTGAAAATTTGAACCAACGGAAACGGCAACCTCTACAGTAACAGGGAAAAAATGTTAAGTAAAATAGGATTATTACTTTTGCTTAATTAATACAAAATAATCTGAACAACATTGATGATGATACAAACAATGATTTGCAATATACAATGCGGATTCATTTTTGTCAAAAAATAAAGACTTCATGTACAAATAAAGTACTGAAAAACGACAAAATGCAACACATTTCAGCATAAATACCTCCCTCTCCCCTTCCAAATTTTGGTATGCCTCTTTTTGTCTGCATACATTACAGATTTCTGTGAGGTTTTGAAAAAAAATTACTATACACCAGAAAAAAAGTGTCTCTTTCCTTCAGAAAGTTGTGATTGATTTCAGTCTAGATTGTGTACCTACATTGGTGAGATTTGGTCCCACAACTGGTATGGCTTTACGAAGGTCTTGTTCTCCGTTCTTCAGGCACATCAGGCGTAGAGGGGTCACTGATGACAATATCATAACCATCATTTTATTTTTGGTGAATAATAATAATAACAATAATACATGTTAAGTCAAAGGCTTATCTAACACATGGTCCTCTCGTTAGTAAAATTACATATCAATGGGTTAGTAAAAACAACATGAGGCAAGTCATTAAAACAGTTTAAATATCAATGAAAAGAATAAAAACAAAGATGAAAACAAGTTTGAGGCGTAATCACAATTCATTCAATGAAAATGATAAAAATGAAATATTCATTGATCGTAAACCAAATTATCAGGGGGCATAGCAATGCTTTTTCATCAAATTATTTCTTAATCTAATAGGATGAAATTATATTCTATTTCATAATCTGAAAATGTTCATACTTCCTGACAAGTTATTTTTTCCAGAACTCTTGTGAAGTGGAGGTGCATTAGGTATGATGTATCCTTCCATTGGCCAATCGTAATCCTGGAGAACAGAAGCACGACATGTTATACCCAGATGATCTGATAGTCAATGATTAGCAGATTGTAAGGAAAGTTCCACCCAAATCTTCTCTCATATCAAGCTCCTTTATATATTTATTGTAGCGTAATTGATAAAATTGTTGGCATAGTACAACTTCTCTGAGAATTTCTGTTGTAACAACTTTATCCACTGTGCATTTGTTTCTCAAAGTTATAACAAAATTGTCTACTATACCAATTATCAATTTAAAGAAATTTCATTAAAAAAAAATTAACATTTCCATAAAGAATTTCAAAGATATTCCATGGAAACTTTTCAATATTGACCTCAAAAGATACCTTAATTCCTTTGAAAAAAAATCTATTTGTTAATCAGGTATCAGACAGTATATATTCTTTCTTTGTATACCTCGTTCTTGAAGTAAGTTTTGTACCTATTTACATACATCTTTAGTCAAAGATAGAATGTTATAGCTTTCAAACAGATATTTCACTGCATCAACCACACTATTTTTCAATAAAACAAAGCATTACAATGCTTTAACACTCTAATAAAATCAACTAGTTTTTGGTATGAAAGGTCCCTGTCTGTGTTCCCTATAGGTTCGCGGTACTGACCTCATTGAGAGATCCATCCTCACGAGCTGGCCAGGAGTAAGCTTGTTTGTTCCATTCCTGGTTTGATGCTTCATTGAACTTCCACTGGCCCAGGTTGTCAAATCGTTCTTGTTTCAGAGCAAATCTGTGATAAATATTGTCATCCAAATGATTTCTGACATGAAGCAAATATCAATCTAATTTACAAGCTTAATAGTTGGTATTGTATATTCCTGATAATATCATATTGTATATTCCTGATAATATCATATTGTATATTCCTGATAATATCATATCAAATATTCATAAGAGAAAAATGTGATATAATGCAAAATTGATACCAAAATATTTTGGTTTTTTTTTATTTTTGAAAAATTTGAGAAAAATTTAGTTTGAGAAATCGATGTGCTTCATCCAAGTAACATTTATGAAAAAGAAAATATTATAGTTATCTCCTACTTCATAATGAAACCTTAAAATTGAAATTTCTTAATTTTTATGAGTCACTGCTGTTATAATGCGTCTTGTAACAGTTCAATATTATTGGCATTGTTGATGCTAGAAATATACTTTTCTTTCTTCACTTTTTTACCTTTGAAAGCTGGCCTCTTTTTTTGAGGTGAGTTTGTCCATTAGGACAAGGTAAACTCGAACACCTGAGGACACACCCTCAATAGGTACATATGCTTCCTCATCTCCCATTTTGTGACCAGTGTAGGTCACTACAAGGTCAGGGTGAGCCTACAAAATAACAGTGTTAAAACATTTCAGGTCAGTTTGGACATCTCTGGCATAATTTAGGAGCATACACTGATGTTTTTGTAGACAAGGAAAATCACTGGATCTGAGTGATTTAATGCTCCTACACAATCGTGATCAGAATAGATTGATCTTCAATTTTCTTCCATAAGTATTTCCACCTGTTGCTCAGATATGACTAGATTGTTTTTCTCTACACAGAATCTGGTATTTTATCCTATGATAAGTCTATGTCTGGTAATAAGCCCACCCACATCTATTGCAATTTCAGTAGAAATGTTTAAACACCACATGTCATGTCCCCAACTCCTAGATCAAGAGGTCATTGGTTCATTTAAACGTACAACAATGGCCACCGAAAACTAAGTATAAACCTTAGTGGTATGATGCTATCGTGAAAATAAGAACCAAATCTGTTAAGGGATTCATGATAATCCTTTGTACACAGCTTTGTATACGATGCATTCATAGGCAATGATTACCATACATCCCCATTATGTACTGTAGAATCATTCATTTCTGTGGGGGATTTCATTGCTTTGTCATAAACCCATTCTTTCAATGTGACAAGATATGGGTTGACCTCTCATGTTTAGATAAAAAGAGTTTGATGACATGATATTAAAAGCTCTATCGAGTGCATAAGATGAATATCTTGGAAAACAGGACCATATCAGCCCTGGGTCTATGACCAAAATGATATGAGAGAGCACACTAGCTAGCTCCATTAAAGAAGTAGTATCAAAAATCTACCTGATTGGAAATGGTTGCATCTGGATTAAATTTCCACTGTTGGTAGATGTTGCCACTTGTAGCTTTCTGCATATTGATGACGAAGCCTGATGATGTTCCTTCCTTCTCGGAGATGTTGAATTCGACCCGCGTATCCGACACTGCCAGACACAGATTGGGCATTCCCTTATTGTAGATGTAGCCACGCTGTAGACAAAATAGAGTATATGATTGTTCAAAAGGCATATAAGGAAAGTAATTTTCTTGACAAAATATATAACGAAATTGATCATAATTACATTTTGAAATAATTTCTGACTTTAATTATCAATAAAACCAATTATATCAATAAACAGGCTAATATTTCCAGGATTGACTTAATGGTTTCAAAGTGATTGTAACATAAAAAAAAATCTGAAATATTTCAAGAAGTAGTTTAAGCCTGTCTACTATAAATGTGCTTCAGATTAGCAATATTTATTCTTTGTTACTTTGGGTCTAAATCAGTTTCAAACTGTATAATTGCAAATATTTTTTGACAAGCCAAGCAGAGACACTTTATGCTTTAGTATACATATCTATGTAGCTTACTATGCAAAATCTCTTGGTTATCAATTTACATTTTAAGAAGCAGACTTTATCTGCGTTCTGGAGGAAATCACGAAAAAAAATTGATGTCCATTTGGTACAATGGTAACGGCTTTTATCCTGGTGATTGTTATGCTGTTACATAATTAATGTGGTACAACAAAGAAATATTGAACTCATCCAAACCTAGCAAATTCTGTTTGGATAATGTGAATCTTTACCTTAGATATGACCCAAACTTGCGCCTCCATTGGCCACAAGCTTTTGTCCTTCTTCACCTTTTGGGTGATGACAGCTTCTGGATACAGAACAATACTCTTGTCTTTCTGTAAAAGTCATCAGAAATAATACCATACAGAAAGGCAAAATACTCTCTACACCATTATTACTTTCTCAATACATAACATACTTCGTGTATAATGCTATATAATCAAACCTGTTTTAAGGCCACTAAAGGGAGCAGTTTGGTCTTTATAGACAGGTAGCCTTTATATGAATGTTAAATTACTATGAATCGTATTAGTTCAGGATTCAAAACAAGTGTTTTTTACAGAGATGGTATTTGTAAAATTATGACTTTCATATAAAGGTTCAGTTACTACAGGTATTTATTCTATTACTTCAGGAACCAAATCAAGTGGCCTTTATACAGAGGTGATGTTATAGACAGTTTTTTTTTATGAGAGAATAATGAAACAACATTGGACAAGCATCTTAATGTATTGTAATATATACACATATATGGGTAAGCTTTCAAATCAAGCATATTGTTATTGTTTTTAACCTGGTGTAGATTTGGAAATGAATGTGCTTATGCTTAAATCTTGTGTTTGCAAACATGTTTCTCTATAGAAAATTATACGTCTTTTTTTTTCGTTTGATAAGAGAGAGTTAAGAGGATATTTTACATTTTGAAGAGTAAAAATATTGAATTTTTGAACCTTGTGAATTAGTTTTGACTTTAAAAATCTTAAACTTAATCTTAAATCTTTAAAACTGACCTTGGCCTGTATGTAATGACTGGCCTGACTCAGTTCGGACGTAGGTATAAGGTCATCCTTAATATGCTGGATCATAACTGGATCTCGCATCTTCTCATATGCCTCACTAGGATAGCTGGCATGTGCCTCAAAGTCACGATGGCTGTCCAAACAAAAAATTGTGAATTTAAATCAAAAGAATAATGTATTGTTACATCTTTATAATACTTTATAAAATACCTTTTTTTGTGTTTGACCATTTCAGCTACTGTTAATATTTGCAAGAAGCACAGTTTTAACAACAACTTACAAAATATTAATGAATATATAGAATTGAACAATCACAATACAATACTGGTAACATTTAAACTCCCAGAGGAATGCTTTTTCTCTTTATCATTTCATTTTGACTTTTCATTGAATTTCACATGCCCTTGTCTAATCTGACCTTGGAGTAGTATGACAAATTGTCTAATATGACATCTGACCTCCTGCCTTATATGACACCTGACCTCCTGCCTAATATGACACCTGACCTCCTGCCTAATATGACACCTGACCTCCTGCCTAATATGACACCTGAATATTCTGATATCCTGTCTAATCTGATCACCTATACTCTGTTACTTCACACAGCCATACTTAGAATAGCCAACACACAGATAAAACAAACTGAAGTAAACTTTCAACAGGAATGTCTAAACTAGACAATATTAACCCCTCATCTCTATTCAACACTACTTTCCCTAGCTCATACCTTTTAAAGTGTTCCAGAGATTCAAGGTTTGCTTCTCTAGAAATTCCATTCACATCTCCCAGGTCATAGCCTTTGGCTCTGTCAAAGGTGGCTTGAAGGCAATATACTGTAATGAAAGCATGTAAAGTCAAAAAGGCTACCTATATGGCAATCTAGACATAATTCAAAACCGTTCTTCTTCATCCACTTACTATAACGACCAAAGGCCAGAATTTTCACATCCAAGAATTTACTGATGTTGGTTGAAGAGGGAGCACAGAGACATTCTTATCTTATATTTGTAACAGAGGTCATTATTTGTGTCAATGCCTGCATGGAGATTCGAACCCAGAACCTTTGTCTTCGTAGACATAATTTTATGGTTAAGCTGAAGAGAAGATCTTCCCAGCTGAGCAATATATTGTGGTGAGTGTTTAGTGTGGTTACATACTTCAGGAAATACCTTTTCCTTGTTACACACTTACTTTATGTTGTGCTTAGTATTATTTCAGAGTCCCTCAATGGGTGCAAATGTAACACAGGTCTTTATTCATTCCAATATCTCCGTCAGGATTTGAAAACCCATGACTCTGGCAAACTAGTCTGATGCTCAATCAGTCAAGCTAAAATGATCTTCCTAGCCAAGCAAGACATTGCAGTTGGTATTTTTTGATAAAATAAAAGTTTTATATTATTAAAGTTTGCATGATATACTTACAGAACGGAGTTACAAAAGGTTCCCCAAAGGACACCCATATCTCCTGGTCATATTCAAGTTTCAAAATATCATTGATTTCATTTCCATATTTATCAAATATCCGGCGAGCCACTGGGGTCAATTTGGGATTGACAGGGTTACTGAAGACACGATTGGTTGACAGGTCATCAAGGAGACGTTGTAATTGACGTTTTCGTCCTGACTTGTCAGAACCTGTTCCCTTCAAAGCATCAGCAATATTGAAAAAGAACTGCTGTCCTTCCCCATAGAATCCATTTTCGAAGACCTGGAACATGTATTTGATGACTTGTTGATGGTGTAATGACAATATCACCCATATAATATTACTCAGGAAATAAGACCATGCCGGGTAATAAGCCCACTAATATATTGCTAATCAGTAAACATACAAACTGATGCTTTGTTGTTGTCCTGTTAAAAAAACTCTAAAATTATAGTTATATATTAATGTAAGCAAAAAAAAAAACAATTTTGTTTTTAATTGTCCCGTAATAAGCCGAAAAATATTATAACTTTTTTATTTTTATAAATTTTTTTACAAATGGTTATACCTCTGCATGTGATTATTTTTTTTAAACATCACCCAAACTGCCAATATCATTAATACTTCGTTGTAGATTCTGACCTTTAGTCGTAGTCCCTTCCTGCCCACTAGTTTGTGGTCAAATGAAAATTCCTGGATATGACTCATACGGTAGTTTGCTCCTTCAGTCTGAAGCAGAGAGTGATAAATGATATTATATGAAAACCTTGAACTCTTTGTTAAAAAACTGTACTAATTAAAAGGAATTACTAAAACATATTTCTGTAACTATGGTAACACAGCACTCTAAAGTAATCATGAATATGAATGTCAAACTCACAAAATTGTTGCATACTTTCTCTTTTACATAAACAGAGTTATAAAAGAAAATAAAAATATTATCGAACATTTCAGTTCATATTCTGGTTTGATGAAACAAAAGTAAGCTTTCTAATGGATTGTGAAACTATAGTAATCTGGACCGTGAGTATTTCAACACCCTGTCCAGTCCAACATCACTGTGTTTTCTAGAGAAAACTTCACATTAATAACACTTGTAAAGAAAACTTCACATTAATACACACTTGTAAATTCTGTATAATTCTGTACAGCCTGTATGATATAACCAGTATTGTCTACAAGGAATCAGATTACAGAGTCTTCAGTCTACAATATATCTTACCTCCTCTTTGATCTTGACTTCCTCAATGGCTGCTATTTTGGACTTGAGACTGGACAGGGTCACTTTTAGCTGAGATATTTCTTTTTCTGCCTGAAAATTCAATGTGACGAAAAATTCTGAGATTTTCAAGTGGAATATTTCTCTATCTGAAAAAATCAAAACAGAAAAAAATACAGAGAATTGTGTTGCTTCATTGAAAAGTTGATATGTAAAATGTTTTACCAGTTCAAATGTGGTGTAGAGTTCTTCCTCACTCATAGATAAGATAGCAGTGATCGAGATGGTTTCTTTCTGTCCCTGCATCGCGTAGTTGATCTGTAACATCAAACAATCATGTCTACAATCACATGTACTGATAATTCTGTGGAAGTGTTTAGGGATGTATGTATTCCACCAAAATGGTATAATGATAGAGCAATCCTATTTCTTTGAAAAAAACTGCCAATTTACTCTTTCACCCCTAATGACCAAATATGGACTTGACCAATAGAGAAGATGGATTTGTCCACAATAATTATTCAGGTGTGCAAGAGTTTGAACAATATTCTTTGGAAAGTTATAGGTGTAATTTTCTTAGTGTATTTCACAAAGTGGAATTCTTTAGAATGTGGAATAAAGCATAGAAATGAAACAAAAGCTTCACTTTGTTACTCGTACCTCAGTTTTGTATCGTTCAGCATCTTTTAGACGGTCTGTGAGAACCTGTTTGATGCTCCGAATGTAATGAAGTGTTGCTGTGGCACTGAAGGACTCTCCAACAGAGACCCAGACAGGACCCAATATGGCTGTCCCACCAGGCTGAAGGCAGTCGTCAAGGACTGGAGCTAGATAATAACAAAATGAAATGATATTAGTCAGGAAGAAAAACAAAGATCTGTTGGACACAAATAATTATGAAAATCATGCAGTTACTTAAATTTTTATTTTGTTTGGCCTAAATGAAACTTTTGGAAAAATTTGTCAATTTTCGGGGATGGTGGGAGTTGGGGGTGTGGGGAGGGGGAGGGATATCCTTACTCCAGCCTGTAGTCATCATGCATTTGATATCTGTATAAGTTGTTGTATATCAGCTTCTAGACATCACAATATTGAAGCAGTCTTCATCATTCTATCCTACAGTACCTAGGTAAGCATAGGGAGCTGAAACTTTTCCTTTGTTTAACCCAAATTAAAGGGTGGGCTTACTACTGGAAAATTAAGATTACTGTATTTCTACTGAAAAGAAATAGATATGGATGGGCTTATCGCCAGGTATGGGCTTATTGCTGGATCAATTTGTCTGTTTAAGGTTTTAAGATGAAGGACTTACTCTGAGTCAGGTGTGTAATTTCATTTCCTTCCCAATCATACACAACCTTAGCGTGACTTCTCAGGTCCAGCTTTCCGGTGCAGGATACCAGAAACTGCAACATTCAAACCAACAAATGTATCTCCAATGCACAAACACAAATATCTATATAAAGTTTTACTATGTTACATCCAGAGGGAACATCTGAAAAAATTATTACTGCAAATTATTTAACTTTTGTGAGTCATTTATTTCTTTTGAAAATTTTACTGCAACAGTAAAACTTTCCATCTTTGTTACGAAGATCATTACTGCCAAGCATTCAATTTAGTTCTACCTGGTTCATGAACATTGTGAGGAGACACAATCACAAATTAACAGTATTATTTCTCTGAACAATATATATTTACATATATTACAGACACTCTCTACAGTAAGAATATCAAAGCGATACATACATCATCCAGTTTGTTGAGGTCAGCTACCACCTCCACCGGTTCTGTAGACATGCCATTCCTGTAGACAATGATCCTGATACGTCGCTTCTCTGTCAGTGCCCTGTAATTCACAGCCATGTTACAGTACAGTCAGAAGACCTTTATCACATTCAGTTTGGAATACCGTGAAATTTATCAAACAAATTTATACTTTCTCCGTAAAATCAACCTTTTGGTCACCATTCATATTCAGCAGTAGGCTAATGTCTGGTAATAAGCCCACCCATATTTGTAAGTGTTCATTAGAATTATCAACAAATGTAAACAGTGTTTCTTCCATGACTTGGGATGGGACATTTTTGAAAATTGGTGAATTGGGAAGAAAAATTTCATGATCACATCACAAATTTTGGAAATTTGACTTAGATATGAAATAATTTCAATTCGGAAAGAAGACCATTATAAGTCCTTAAAAACCCTCAAAAACACCCTGACTATATTATTGTCCCCTGTTAAGCCCATCCCCTAAATTGGAGTCAGCAGTAGCAAGCTTATCCTCTTTGCTTATTGCCGGAAAAATACTTTAAGCACAAAAATGATTTCTTGGTTGATGTCTAGTATCAATCTTACTTCATGCGCTTGGACATCTTGGATGTCCTGGTTCTGATATGACCATCCTCTGGTATAAGGACTCCAGACAATGTCCATTTGGCTCCTTGACTAATTATCATGTTTCCTAGAAACAAAGAATAATGTTATGATGTAGCATGCATCAAAGGCACTGATACAGATGTAAACTAATTCATTTTCACAGCTATTAATTTTCAAGATTTCACTATCCTCTACTAATTTATGATAAAATATTTTCACAAACCTTAGAACATACAGTTTTGATTGTCAAACTCTGTGAAAATAAATCATCCACAAATATGTATTGATTTACAGTAACAGTTTTAGTCACAGACTCACTTTTACACCCCATAACTAATTCCAAACTGTAACAGACAGAAATGATGCCCCCCTATCAAAAAATTCATTTCCAGTTTTAATATCATTGACAATGAAAAATACCTTTATATACATCAAACCCCAATCAAATCAATGGATTTATGTGTAAATAGAAAACTGACACATCCAGCTTAATGTAAGTGTCAGAAAAATTTGATAACCTTTTTGCAATACAGAAGTGTGGAGGTTGTTTTTATTGTAGTTCTTTTTTTTTCAGCTTCACCAAATGTTTCTAACAAAAAGAAAATATTCTTTACAAAACTCATGAAACCATGTATGGATTTCAATTTTTTTACTTAGTTTCAACGCATTCATTTCACTACATCATTTCATCTTGGAAAATTGTGACAAAAAGAACTCCTTGAAAATAACAACATTTACTGTAATAGAATAGGTGATGCAATCATTCACATTTAATGTTAAAAATCTTACTTTTTATATTTTTGTATGGATCTTTGTAATTTTCACCAGTTGATACAAACACTTCACCATCTAATGGAATATCCCTTGGATCTGTCACCTCAACACCATCCTCCAAAAAAATACGACGAGCAGCAAAGGGAAGTCCCAGCTTGTCAGTACACATCTCCAAGAACTGTAATTATATCATATTTAAACATTATAAAGTTACAATTAAAAAAAATTGTATTTTTATACTCTTCTAAAATGAGAAATATCTTCATCATTTCTTAGCATTTTTCCTTTCTCAACATATTAAAGAAGATTTGCTGTTTTGCTATTTTGCCACCATTTCAAAGTAAAGACACTACTATACATAAAAACATATATTCATATTGTTTGTTCAGCAAAATATCAGCATCATTATAAGAGATTGACATTGGGTAATATTTTTGAAAGAGGTAAATTCAGTGAAGTTGTTGAGGAAAAAGGTCCAATGTTTAGCTACAGAAGAGGTGGCAAATATAACACATACACATGACATTTTTTTTGGAGATATAAGTTACAAGAATTTTTTATTTTTGATAAAAAAACCATATTACAAAAAAAAAGGTTAATGTACATAATCCCAATGCAGAAAGTTAACACAGCTTACAATAAAAAAATCTACCTTATCTCATTACAATTACAATTTAATATTTTGTTGTGATAAATAAACACAGCTTACAATTTTAACTGTAGGTGCTGCCACTCTGATGAAGTTTTCCCGGCTGCCATTTTTAAATGCTGTGACTCTGATGGTGGTTGGCTGCTTTTTATACTGAGATTTTATACGACGTCCTGGAATGTAACAATTAATAAACATAACTAAAACTCCGACAGTATACTACCAGTATTATTCTGGTCTTTGGCACATGTTTCCTGTAATAATCTTATAGGGCTTTTTTGAGGACTTTTTGGGTCAATAATGAACCCCATTCCCAACTGAAATTAATTATAAATTTAATAAGCCAAATTCACAAAATATGCAATTTACTCCTAAAAATTATTACCAATTCAAAAATTTTCTTCCTAAAATGAGACAAAAATGCCCACCCCACCCCCTCCCCACAACCAAAACCATTGAAAACATCTTATACATGTATAACCAGAGTTGACATTTTAAACAAATTGTCCTATTGTTTATTCATTATAATGACCATAACAGGCAGTACATACTGAGTCTGTAGAAGAATGATTGATGAACGAAGCCATTACATTTTAGTAAAAGTTGTTTGAATGGTAATTACCCTTCCTTGAGTGTAAAAAAAATAACTGGTATATTCATACACACATAGAAAATCTAAGTTAGAATGACTATTGGACAAAGCTTATATTTACAATGTTATAATTTCGTACTAGTTTCTTAAATGGTAATTAACTCCCCTGGTCTGCAATAGCATGTATGAATTCATATACCATAGCACATGCTTAAGCGTCAATGTTTCAAGGTAAAAACCAAAGAGTAGACACAGGCACTGTGCCAAGATGACCAACCAAAACACTATATTTTTGTGGTATGATAATAGACAATATTCTTACAAAATATGAAATCAAATATAACATCATGGCATGATTTACATATTTTTAGACAGCAGATTTCTTAACTACTACACTTCCCCAGAAAATTGATGTTCATCAGTAAGACAAGACCTAGTAACAAGACGAGTCACAAAGACAGAAAACCTGTAACTAACCAACCAATCTCAACTTCAGAAAAACCACAACAGCGATGGTGATGTGCATAAATATATTTGACATTATTCTAGTACTTACCAGTTAAGGCAGATACTGGTCTCATAGCTGAGTAACCACGGCGACCGTAAAGCCAGGAAATGCTGGAGGTCCCAGACAATGGTCTAGATCGTCCACTGATAAAGAAAAAATTGAATGACTTCAAAAATGAAAGAAGTTTGTTTGAATACAACTTTGAATTTCAATGTGTCCCGTTTCGAATATAACTTATTTATCTCCTGTAATAAGCCCTGGAAGCCAATACATCACCTTAGACTCAGGACTGGGCTTATTATAGGGACATTATATAACATTTGTTGGTACTTCGATTGCAGATGGGCTTATTTCAGGATAAATTTGGTAGTTACAAGTACACATGAACAGAATTTGGTTTTTTTCATTATGGATATATAAATATGACACTTTGGATAACATATGCAAAGCATTATGCACATTCTTGGATCAAAAGCAACAAGAACAAGAAGAGAAAAAAATATTATACAATGGTACCTTCTTTGTCTGACTGGGGCACTTTCTGGACGACCTTTTCTGTGTACAGAGGATCTTGGAGTAGCAGGGTCCCATAGGGTGGGGTCAGCGATAAACTTGGCATCAATCTTAGGTTTATGAGAATGTCCTGATGGAGGTCTGCTGCTGGATGTTGCAGAGGCTGGACGTCTTTTTGTAATGTATCCATAGTCAGAGTGAGGCAACTTCTGGACATATGGTGACGTTGGGACACTGTACAGAAAACAAATGATGGCATTTAGACAACAGTCAATATTTATTTGAACAGTTGCATAGGGGCACATAAATAATGTGTTGTGAATACATTTTATGTAAAATATTCATCTAAGTATTTTAAAATCATATATTTAAACAAGAGGCCCATGGGCCTTAATGGTCATCTGACAAAAAATACAAGATTTCAACTTGAGAAGAAATCGAAAATGTGTTTTCAAGATGGTGGCCATTGCGGCCATGTTGGATTTCGGACCAACTCAAAATTAACAGACTTTGGTCAGGATCATGTCACGATCATTTCAGGTAAGTTTTAGCTCAATGAGACATGTAGAACTTGAATAGAAGTTGAAAATGTTTACGACAGACAACGGACAAAAGGCGATCGCAATAGGTCATCAGACCCTTCAGTCAGATGACCTAAAAGTAAATTAATGAACAAACAAAACAAATGAATAACTCACTCTCTGCTTTTCTTCATCTCTCCTTTTGCTTTTCGGAGCTCTTCCAGATATTGTGCAATGAGCAGATCCTCGTAGCTGACCATGTCAGTATTTGCCTTGCTGTACAGCAAGTTTGATGTGGTCTGGGCTGGCAGCCGTGGCCGCCCAGAGTCACCTTGCTCATGGCGACGGTGAGGCATCACAACCTATTGAATAAATAAAATGAAAACATTGATACAGGGTTTTTTTTCAATGGTTTTGAGGAAGCAAACTGATGAATTAAGAGGGAAATTTGCAGGAATATACCTGGTATTGCATTGTGAATCTGGCTTAAATAATGACATTTTAATTGGAAATGAGACCTATTATTGTTCCCAAAAATTCTAAAAATAGCAATGTTATAACCTATAATATATTATTTATTGTCTTTCCTTGGTCCATGAATCATTAATCAATTGGGAATAACATTAAACTTACTCCATTTAATTCATTATAAACTAGTGTTTCTGTATGTCATAAAAAACCAAATGACCAATGCCATATCAAGTGGTAAGGAATCATAAGAGATTGTCTGTTAAAAATAAAAACTGACTATTATGTACAGGACTGGGAATGGTTATTTAAAAGATTCCCTTACATTCTTTGATGGTAACTTGTTAAATTTCAAAACTTTCTGGATTTTTTTTATAATTATTTTAGTTTTGTAGTGGATGGCAAAAGATCAGAATTTAAGAGAGTAAGTAGAATGGGTAAAGTATGGAGAGAAAATTGAGAGAAAGAGAAGAGGGATGGAGTACAGATGATGTCAAGCTGTCAACTGTCCTGGTTTGTTCTATGGCCTGTATTACTATATATTTGGAGTCAACTCCTTCTACCTAAACACTTGGCTATATCATGATAACATGTTCTAGCATGGTGTACCAACATGGTCCAAGGGAAAAACAGCAGAAAGAGACAGAAGTCATAGTCTAAGACTAAGAAGAAATTTGGTAAAAATGTAAAATGTTCTAGTCCAGCTGATCAAATGATAAGTATTGTGTTACTGGTCTTCAAGGTCTCTTGAAAACTGATACACTTGTTCTATCTGGTCTCTTTCAAAATTGTAGTCTTAAATCTTCTCTATGTACAAACAGGGATGGTTTCCATGCCAGGTGGCAATTGGCACACTGGACACCATTTTATGTCCCATTCCATGGACTGGATATTAATAGATTCAAGTTGAGTTGGTAGTTAAGAAACAAAAATGAAAATATGTGTGTGGGCTCACTGTGCAACTTTCTGGTTATCAGTTGTATAGTGATTTACATACATCACAAAAGAGAGTCAGCTACTGTGGAAACCTTTGGGAAATGTTGCTCATATGCATATTTATTTTGTTATCATCACAAAAATTGGTGACCTAAGTGGGATAACAGAACTCAATGTCATTATTTGGGAGTATTCTCCGTCCCTTGTTGGCTATATTAGTATCCGATACTACTAATGCACAGTATTATATGATAGGCATTTATGCAGTCTACAGATCGAGGCACTAACAGGCGGAACCTGTCCGGATTAATCTGCATTGCATCTAATCGAGTATCAAGACCCCATATCCACACTTAAAGCCAAAACCAATAACTGATTATATAAATACAAATAAGCATATCCCAACGGAACTCTGTCCAATGATCGCACCCATCACCTTTGATGATGATCACACTTGAAGTCAAGTGCCCGGGCGTTTGCCGAAACGGGCACCTGCTTGCAGTATTGACTTAACTGCATCCCCTCATTGCCCAGAAAATATTTCGATGAACATGTGAGATGTGACAGTGGTACTTACGATTTAGTTGTTGACAGAATTATGCGTTCAGTTCCAGTAATACGTACTCCGGTAGTTCTCAGTCTATTTATTATTGTCACACTGTGAACCACAAACATCTGTCGGCCTCCATATTGAAATATTTACTCCGATCACCTTGGTGATGACGTCATGTCACAGGTGCGCGGTAAATAATAATTAGAAAGTAAAGTGTGATAGTGATCAACTGATAATTTTTAAATTCATCTTTATTTATTTTGCATTTTTCTTTGGTATAATTTGTGTATCAAATGACTTCTAAAATGGGGGTGTAAACTTTGACCTCGTTTTGATTGTCATTGACTTATGGCGGCCATTTTTACTGATGATCCACCTACCTAGCTAGAATCGCAGGGAGACGTGGTGATTGTGGGAAGTATTTGAGGACAGTGTGCTAACGGTTTGTGCATCAGATTTTCTCATGTCTCAAAAATGTTCGATGCTCATGTCAAATTTGATAACTGTTGGATCGTATGTCTCTGTAAATACACCGACCGGTTTATTTGGAGACAGGGGGTGGGAATCCCGTTGACACTGTTTGAATGAATCATATTCCTATTTCATCGTAACTTCGATTTCCGTTATTCATTTAATGATATGTGTATTAAGAGTGACGCCGGTTTATCTAGTTTGGTAAATATCTAGATTCACTGTTGTAGACGTCTGGGATGTTTCTGCTTTATAGGTCATCCGGGATACTGATAAATTAAAAGTGACCCTCCCACTAAAATCATATCGTGCCAGATTCCGTGGGGGTGTGCCTTGGTAGGTGTTATGGCTGATAAAATGTTCACGGTGGAAGTGAACGGATCTAGTGATCGTATTATTACATAGAATGAACATGGTTTTAATTTCTAATAAACACTGCTATTGTTGACTTGCATACACTTGGTAATTGTGTAGTTCTAAAGTGTGAATAATGAAATGACCGGTCAATTTATGCAGGAATGCTAACAGCTCCGTTATATTGCAGGTACTATTGAAAGACACACTGTACTCATGCCACTGACATTACTGACAGTGCTTTATTTTCTTGATCAATATCAGGGAATGTCATTCAGAATTTATATGTGATCCAAGTTTTAACAACTGTCTGTCAAATGTATATAATATACACAAAATTAAAGAGGAGGTTTTTCAAGTTATAACAGTGTCAACTTTGAGCTCTGGAACTTCCCAAAGATGGACAGCACTTGATCTAATCCATTAGTTAAGGGTTAGGGTTAGAGCTTTCAAATGGAAATGGAAGAAAGAAAAACATAAAAAATCAAATAATGTCTCTGTAAATTGAATGTGTTGCAGGATCATTCAATTAAATTTGAAATTGTCCTTGTAGGCAAAGAGTTTGTCACTGGTAAAATTCTGGTTAGCTGATCATGACTCTTTCTATTGAATTTATGGGAAACATTCTAGATTTTACCTTGATAGATGCACTTAGAATATATGACAGACCTTCATGGAAACCATTAAATAGTTATGCCAATATTAATTTTCTATTCCAATTTTAAAGCAGCCTTTTTAAGATGAGATAATATGGTAATGTTTCTTTAGATTTTTGAAGATTACAGGTTTTTTGCTTTTTGCTTTTTTTTGGGGGGGGGGGGGAGCAATAGTATTTTGTTGATAGTAAACAGACTATTTCCTGTTTTGGGCCATAAAACAAGGGGAAAGAAATCACTGAATATTGTTATAATAATGCAGTAAGTAAGTTAGAGTGATAGAATTTGATTTAAACTTCAAAATTTATTATTTTTCGTTATACAGAGTATTTAGAAATGTGGCTTCATAACAAATGAAAGTTTAGACATTAAGATGGGCTTTATTTGTTGATAACATAGAAAGAAAAAGGCTCTTTCCCAAATGAGTGGAAAAAAATCCCTGGTACAATGTAGAATGTAGATTTAAAGTTAGCAACTTACATTTTTGCCTCATGATGTACTCTGCTGTTTGTCCAGAAAGACACATATGTACAGCATAGACATTCTCATTCTGGCTTAGACGATTTGTTCATGATTAATCCTGGTACTGAAAAACAACAGAGTGATCGCAGGACTCCTGAAAGCATGGGTATAACCCTGAATTAATTGATATATATAGAGAATGTCTCTCATGTGTTTACAAAATAAAAAAAAAAAGAAAACATGCAAAAATTAATGCAGTAATGCCTATTTGCCCAATTTTCCAATATCAATCTGGTATTTAGATCACCATGACCGGCTCACTCGTTTGACCTGTCAGGTTATCAAATAATTTACATTTTTCATTCATAGTGACTTGCTTAAGAACTTTTCTAGATTTGCCTCCATTAAATCCTATTCACTGGGAATATCAGTAGTCTCACTCAGTCAGACTCTTTATTTCTGTATACATACACACATCATGATCAAGCCTCTAATTGAGTGATACAGGGATATTAGACATGGCGTAATGAGGGGGAAGACAGAGAGACTTTTCTTGCATAAAAAATGGGTAGTCTTCAGTTTAGATAATCTCTTATCTTTGATTTAATTGTTAGTTCAATTTGTTTTAAGACATAATCAATCACTGCCAGAGGCTGCTGAAGCTGGCAACATGAAGTAAGATACATATAAGTTCATGTGAAAAAATGTATTAGAAATCAAAATTTATATAGTCTGTGGAAGACTTTATCACACTAGACTAATTACATCTATAGAGGTGATATAGATACATGCACTTGAAAATGATCTGGTCGGGAATAATTATAAAGTAAATTTTTCATCTTCTATGACTGGTCTGTTAGAGGTCGTTGATGTTAGAACCTACGCTGGTTTATATGTTAGCTATGTCTGTTTTGGTGTATTCAAAGTCTTCAAAAGAGGCCTTTCATATGAATGAAATTGCAAATGGCACATTTTTGGTGATATTTACAAAAATTGTACAGTACTAAACTATCCAAATATGCGGTATATACATGTATGTAAATGGGCCTCATCTCAACAACCATTTAGTGTATGCAATGTTATTGTGCATATATATTTGTGCCAATTGTTAACTCTAGTCTGGAAGTAGAAAATGTAGTTTTCTGGGGCGAGTTTTTGTGGACGAGTTAATGAATCTGAGTGCTAATTGACCATATTCAAAATATTCTTAAATTTTTTTTGTTCATTTAACTGGTGATTTTTATCAAAAATGCTTTTATTCTATAAATTTTTTTTGAATTTTCTTATTTTTTCAAACAACAGAGTGGTGTCAGATGTTTTTTTCACAGTTTTGCACAAAAAATACACTCAGTGGCTACATTGCTTAATGTACTGAGATTTATACAAAACATTTTTGATATTTGAATCACCTCTTCATACTACAACTTAAGATGTTTTTTTGTTCCTTATAAAGGGTCTTCAGCACCCATCTGGTGAACTGATTATCAATACACCTAAATTTACACTGCCATTCTCAATTTTAGTTTATAACTTTGTATCTGTTTTATATTCTATGTATGTGATATAATTCATATAATATTTGTGTCTCGATAAAGGTGGCAGATTGCCTTACAGACTTGACAATTCATTTGTTTGTACTGTTGTTTTTACTTCATTGATTATATATATATATATTCCTGCCTTCTTACACAACATCTTACAAACATGATTTCATCAGGATTTTTTAACTAATTGAAATTGGCCATTTTTGAAAGAAAATTGATTTGAATTGTGTTTGTGTTTGATGTTTGATTTGTAAAACTTTATTTTACAGGCATCTGTAGAGCTTCACCATGCCGGCTGTCAAAGGAGATGGCATGCGCGGTCTGGCCGTATTTATATCAGATATCAGGAACTGTGAGTATTTGAGTAAAGAGAGGTAACCCCTATCATTTCATGTAGAAAACAAAACACCCTGAAAAACTAATTTCATTACCTAATAACACTATCTAAAATCTTTTGATAGTTATCATAGATATTTGAGGCTTTGATTGAAATATTGTTTGTTTGGCATTGATCCACCATCCCAAAAGTAAACTTGATTGAAATAATTTTATGACAAATCCAATTTGTTTATTATTGTGAATGTCATTTCCAGAATCTTAGGTCTTCAATTTTACGTACCAATATTAGTACTATCTATTCGAATGTCATATAAACACTTGGTATTTACTCTCCCAGCCACTAAAAGAAGAGAATGAATTTGATTTGTAATCTGAGCCAAACAGAAAGCAAAATTTCACAATGCTTTCTTTTTTCCCTCTAATGAAATAAAAAAATTCCCTGCCTATCTCCTAAGTTCTTCAAGGATGGGTTGATCAGTACAAAACAGAGAATATTTAATGGATGGTCTGAAAGTCAACAAAAATGATCAAGAAATTTCAATTTAATTTTGAGACATACAGATCAAGACTTTTAGGTTTCAATTGACAGTATATGGCTGTTTTACTGCACAACAACTAGCCCCATTATTTCAATTTGTAAAATTGAGCTTCCTTGTAAATCCTATAATGTTATACATAATGCAGTTTTTTACATGTGAAGTTTTTCTTTCAGGTAAAAGCAAGGAAGCTGAGATTAAAAGAATTAATAAAGAATTAGCCAACATCAGATCCAAATTTAAAGGTATGGGATATACAGAGATCTTTCGATTTTGTTCAGAAATTAAGTGGCTTACCCAATACAATAAGCTACCAGTAAATTTAAAGTGTTTATACTTCATGCAAATGCAGAACAATCATCAGTCCAGGGTGTTCAACAAATGGAACTTAAAAAGAAGAAAATAACTCCTCTCCGATATGAAATTATCGGAAAGCAAAACTATTTCATTATAAGTTTGTTGTCATTTTCATTTGAAACCTACATATGTGGTGTTCTTGTTATTGTCAGAGTTTAGATATTGACACATGTTATAAAAAGATTGGCACATTTCCCAATCCTGTTAAATCCTATAGATATTTTATCAATACTGTACAAAAAACTGTTCATAAATGTAGTTAATGTTTCTGTACAGACAATGACTGTTAGTGATATGTTGTGATCCATTGTTTGGCTAAATGTAACACAGTTATGGTTTCAGCCTATTGTTTTCAGTTATCCTGTTTTTATTTGGCAAAAGTCACAGAAATATCAAATTTATTTTGTCTAATTGTCTAATTGCTTGTTCCACAGGGGATAAGACCCTAGATGGCTACCAGAAGAAGAAGTATGTCTGTAAACTATTGTTTATTTTCCTTCTGGGACATGACATTGATTTTGGACAGATGGAGGCAGTCAACCTACTCAGCTCCAACAAGTACACTGAGAAGCAGATTGTAAGTTTGGCTTGTCCTCAAGCCAGATTTGTAGAAACTATATGATTAGGTAGAGTACATTGAGAAACAGGTAGTAAGTTTAGCCTGTCCTCAAACCAGAGTTGAAGAAATAATTAGCTGCTGCAAAACCAGTGCAAGTGGTTCATTGAGTGCTAAAATGATCTTCTACAATATTATCTGATACTTTAGCATTATGTATTATCTCTTTGTGCTATTTTTTTCAGAAACCTTGTTTCTGTAATCATAAATTGAACCCCAAGTGAAAAGCAGTTTTGTTTTACCAAATACCAAAATAATTTTTTTGAAAACAAACATTTAGAACAGAGACTTTGAAAAAATTTTGTTTTCTCTCCAACTATTCCCTACAAACCCTAAACCTCTCGACCATCCAAACACCCATCTCAAAACAGTTACATACAACTCCCTCCTTCACTCAATATTAACTCATCTTTTTTTTTATATTTCAGGGCTACCTCTTCATCTCAGTGATGGTGAGCGCCAACAATGAGTTGATGAAGCTGGTGATTCAGTCCATCAAGAATGACCTTGGGAGTCGTAACCCAATCCATGTGACCTTGGCCCTCCAGTGTGTAGCAAACATTGGCAGTAGGGAAATGGCCGAGGGACTTGGGACAGATATCCCTAGATTGCTTGTCTCTGGGTAAGGCTGGCCTTGTGATTTTAAAGATGTTCTGTTCTGCCTGACTGTTTACTATATAATAACTTACACGATACATACCACTTTGTGAATTCATAAAATTCAAATAAAATTTTCTTCAAGAAAATGTTATTGAGATGATACATTATCCTTGCAGGGACACAATTGACGCTGTGAAGCAGAGTGCTGCCCTGACTTTGCTGAGACTTTTGAGAACCTCTCCAGAGTTCATACAGATTGGCGAATGGTCATCTCGTGTCATCCATCTTCTCAATGACCAACACATGGTCAGTATTTTGGTAAATTCTGGTACCTTGCTAGTGAAACCAATTTATTTCATTCAGTATCTTGTACTTTACATCTGTCTTACCTTTCAAATTTTTTTTAATGAAATGCTTACCTCAAATATCACTACACTAACTTCACAAACCACACTTATTTCAAGCTAGTTCATTAATGATAGAATCTGATTAAAATTATTTCAGATAACAAACATTTTTCAGTAATTCATGGTGCTCAATACACAGGTGTCTGGATTGAAAATTAACTCATGATGATGCCTAATGGAGTAAAATTCCATTTTCTTATTGTCAAAATGAAACCTTTAGATAGAAGACCTCTTGAAAGCTATTTTTGATGATGTACTAATCACTCTTGGTGGCAAGCATGTTAACACGTGAGGGATCTTTACTGGGGTCATACACATGGTCGGGCAGGTGACTCCCTAATATTTCACATCCATCTGGGGAATCAAACCCTGGATGGCTAGGTGAAATTGCTTAGTGAAGATGTATTGCCACTGCATCACTAGACTGCCCAATGTGTTTTAGTTGAATATCAGAATGTTGTGTACATTTTTAAATGTATGTTTATATTATCAGAATGTTGTGTACATTTATGTTTATATTATCAGAATATTGTGTACATTTATGTTTATATTATCAGAATATTGTGTACATTTATGTTTATATTATCAGAATATTGTGTACATTTATGTTTGTATTATCAGAATATTGTGTACATTTTTAAATGTATATTTATATTATCAGAATATTGTGTACATTTATGTTTATATTATCAGAATGTTGTGTACATTTTTAAATGTATGTTTATATTATCAGAATATTGTGTACATTTATGTTTATATTATCAGAATATTGTGTACATTTTTAAATGTATGTTTATATTATTAGAATATTGTGTACATTTTTAAATGTATGTTTATATTATCAGAATGTTGTGTACATTTTTAAATGTATGTTTATATTATCAGAATGTTGTGTACATTTTTAAATGTATGTTTATATTATCAGAATGTTGTGTATATTTATGTTTATATTATCAGAATATTGTGTACATTTTTAAATGTATGTTTATATTATCAGAATGTTGTGTACATTTTTAAATGTATGTTTATATTATCAGAATATTGTGTACATTTTTAAAGGTATGTTTATATTATCAGAATATTGTGTACATTTTTAAATGTATGTTTATATTATCAGAATATTGTGTACATTCTTAAATGTATGTTTATATTATCAGAATATTGTGTACATTTTTAAATGTATGTTTATATTATCAGAATATTGTGTACATTTTTAAATGTATGTTTATATTATCAGAATATTGTGTACATTTATGTTTATATTATCAGAATATTGTGTATATTTTGTTAAGTATTTAAATTTTTGTAACAGGGTGTGGTAACATCAGCAGCCAGTCTGATTGAAGCTTTGGTAAAGAAGAACCCTGACGAATACAAAGGTTGTGTTTCTCTGGCAGTCTCGAGACTGAGCAGGGTATGTTGAATATAGAATAGGCTCATTCATATATACACAAGTCAAGAGGCTTTATCAGGGTAAGGGATGCACAACATCTACTAAAACATCATGAAAACAGTAAATACAAAATTGATTTTCATTATGTTGGACTTCTGTACATTTATAATTTCTGAAGCAAAACCTGTTTTAATACATAATGAAGAAGGTAGACAACGAGATTGAGCTGACAGCTTAAAAATTGGAAGAGATTGAAAAGTGAAAATAGGCAGATTGAAATCGTTTAAGTGTAATTGAAGTTTGTTGAAATGACTGATAACTTAACTTTTATTGAGACATTAACAGTCTATTAAGAAGGGAACCAATTTAAATCTTTTTTTAACTGGAGCTGGTTTGAATCCTGTCTCAACTATAGCTGGTTTAAATCTAGCCTGAAATGGAGCTGGTTTAAATCTACTGTTAACTGGAGCTGGTATAAGTCCTGTCTTATCTGGAGCTTGTTTAAATTCAGTCTTAAGTGGAGCTGGTTTATATCCAGTTTTCGCTGCTATGTATAGTTTCTACAGTAACCTCAATGACATACTGAGCTAAAATTTGTAAGATTTCTTATAGGGTGCCTTGCAGTGGTTTCAAATGATGAAATACAAAATTATTGATTTTGTGACAGTTAGGACTGACGGTTGGCATTTTATGTTTCAGATTGTGACTTCATCCTATACAGATCTACAAGACTACACCTACTACTTTGTTCCCGCCCCCTGGCTGTCTGTCAAACTCCTCAGATTGTTACAAAACTATCCTCCACCAGGTAAACTCTTTAAGCAGAACCATTCTCCCTTGTGGAAATCACTTAAGTCACAACTATCCCTTCCCTGCATAATCAGTTCAGATAGACTCACACCATCAAACCTTTGATGAAAAGGAAACAAAACCTTCGGCAGTATAATCTTAATACTCCTGAAACAATCAAGTCAGAATTATCTCCTCCTCATTATTCACTATGTAGCTAGAACAATTAGAAATTCAGATGAATCTCTGTACTTTGAGAATGTCTCACAGAAATCTCAAAGATCATAGTATAAATGACTAAATCTGCCCTTCCCTTGATGAAAAACTCATGGTTACAAGTTTACACTTTATGTGAGAGAAGTATGTACAAAGGTATTGTACGTGGTTTTTTTGTTCAAATTTTGATTTTTAAATATACTTATCTCCCTTGTCAGAGGACCCAGCAGTGCGAACTCGGCTGACCGAGTGTCTAGAGACAATTCTCAACAAGGCACAGGAGCCACCTAAGTCAAAGAAAGTGCAGCATTCAAATGCTAAGAATGCTGTTCTGTTTGAGGCAATTAACCTCATAATTCATATGGACAGTGACCCTAACCTCCTAGTCAGAGCCTGTAACCAACTTGGGCAGTTCCTCCAGCACCGTGAAACTAACCTCAGGTAGGTCAAGGATCGGTTTACGCCAGATTGTCTTTATAACAACTTTTTAGGCCAAATCCTGTCCGGAATCATTAATGGACCATAAGGTCTAACAGCATTATAGGCCAAATTCTACCCTGGAATCATCATGTGACCAGAAGGCTATTGTAGGGCAAATTTGTCCAGGAATCCTCATCAGACCATACAATTTTTTTAGTGGTCATTAGAGGCCAAATTCTTACCTAGAATTGTCACTGAATTGGAAATTTTGTTGATAGGCAGATAACTCCTGTCTGAAATAATTTCAGGTCAACTTGTATATAAGTTTGTAAAATTGTTAGAGGGGCAGCTGTGTAAGGGCAAATTTTATCAAATTTTAACAATTTTCTGAAAATTATTCATCCAGGTTGGACATTTATTAAATGTTTGGGAAATTTTTTCTTCTGCTTTCAATTTGAATGCATTGTTCTGAAGTGAAGTTATATGCAGTACAGAAAGGACTATTTCATGTACAGCACATGTGTTTTGACCATTTATATTTCACAAAAAATGTAATTTTGATTGGGATGAGATTTCTGTCACACATTTTTAGGGGTGAGATTTCTGTCGCATGTTCTCCAGAGGAAAATCACATATTAAGTTGCTATAGGTTACAGGTACCTAGCCCTGAAGAACATGTGTCTGTTTGCTACTATATTTAGGCCTCTGTATGTTACAGGTATCTAGCCCTAGAGAGCATGTGTCTGCTCGCTACATCAGAATTCTCCCATGAGGCTGTGAAGAAACACCAGGAGACTGTTGTGACTGCTCTCAAGGTATTGTCATGTGTTCTGTGGTACAGTCGTTTCTATTGTCCTAGAATTTCCCATATTCACAAAAAACTGACATTATGTAGTAAAATAGTAGTGGAGTTTTTAGTTAATTCATTGTTAAAGAGGAATAAGTATGTTCAACTAACTGTTAAATAATAGAAGTTGATTAATCAATGAAGTATCAGTTTCAAACCCCAAAGCTAAAAAACAGAATTTTCAAAATTTAATGAAGATCTCTTAATGTTACTTGGAATTTACAGACAACCTTTTTTTTTAACATTGTTGTTTAAAGAAGTAAGAGTGAACTATTCTTTCAGTTTTCAACTTGATCAGATATCAGTATGAATTTCTGTTCCACCTGAGTGATTTTGTAATGAGGTGTATATTTATAACAGACATAAATTCTGTTCCTGATTTACTTTACAATGAGGTGTTATAATTTATGACATACCGGGTACATAATTTCTGTTCCACCTGAATGACTATGTTATGAAGTATTATTACTATAACAGACAGAGCGTGATGTGAGTGTGCGTCAGCGTGCTGTAGACCTGCTATATGCCATGTGTGACCGCACCAATGCCGAGGAGATTGTAGGAGAGATGCTTGACTACCTCGAGTCAGCTGACTACTCTATCAGAGAGGAAATGGTATGTCTACACATTTGGTAACATCAGTTTGTCTTGTATTGTTAACACATCCCATAATAATATGATCACACTACTGCTGATGCCTGCAATCTTATTATCAACTTAACACAAAATGTCTGAACATATCGGCCCATCCCATAATTTCAGCACATTGGTGATATGGTACATCCCAGTTACAGTTTAGGAGAAGTTGAAATATTTTGTTAAACATATTCAAAATTCTGAGGGGGAGCGGAAGAATCCACAACTTAATAATGAAACAAAGGGATTTTAATTTGGTCTTTGTCATTAGCATCTTTTTTCTATCAATTTCACAGAATCTCTATCAGCTAGGTTGATAACATGATTCAGATCCAAAATAAACGGTAGATTAACAACAATTTCGGATGATTATTATTATCATGACATTCTTAACGGCATGTCAACACATAAAAGGTCATTAGTGCCATCAACCGGTATGACGGTATGGATGAGTTCCACGCAAAAACACTCTTAAGTATGAAATTGAATTTATTGATAAGCTGTAAATAATTTGTGAATACTTCTCAGCTTTCTTGCATGTAATGTTGTGTGATGTGTAACATGTTTTGATGTTGGGTGTCTGTAGGTCCTCAAAGTTGCCATCTTGGCCGAGAAGTATGCGGTGGATTACACCTGGTATGTGGACGTCATCCTGAACCTGATCCGTATATCAGGCGACTATGTTAGTGAGGAGGTAAGAACAGCGTTTTGGAAAATTCTGATATTCTGATATTTTAGAGAAAAAAAGTACATGTTCACGTCTTGCCTGCAGGCAACTTTTTGAAAATTCCTACTTACTATAATTATGTAGTGTAACATTAAATGTTGAAAATTTACTCTGGCCCTAGCATGACATCTTTAAGACCTGAAGAGTGGTCTTGATTAATTCAAGTTGTACACACTCTACCTGTATATGAGAAATAATATTCTTTTCTGTAAGATAGATGACACATGTTTTTACAATGTATGAGAGTTTGATCTGATCACACTGATCATGGGTTGTGTTACAGGTGTGGTACAGAGTGATACAGATTGTTATTAACAGAGATGACGTACAGGGGTATGCAGCTAAAACAGTTTTTGAGGTAAGAAAAGATTTTTTCTCTTTCGACATGATTGTAGAGAGATGCTTGTACCATTTTGTTTCTATGTATGTAAATGTTCATGCTTCATTGTAACATGTAATCTCAATTCTTATCATTGTGATTAAAAAATATTGGAATATGAGAATACCAGAGAATGAGTATATGACTTAAGTCTATCAAAGCTTGTGGCTTCTACATGTCAAGGCCACTGTTAGTCCTTATATCTAAGGAAAGCTTGAAAACCACTGTTAGTCCTTATATCTAAGGAAAGCTTGAAAACCACTGTTAGTCCTTATATCTAAGGAAAGCTTGAAAACCACTGTTAGTCCTTATATCTAAGGAAAGCTTGAAAACCACTGTTAGTCCTTATATCTAAGGAAAGCTTGAAAACCACTGTTAGTCCTTATATCTAAGGAAAGCTTGAAAACTGATAAATTTGGTTTTGAATTACATGTTAACTTGCACCATTAAGTCCTTCATTTAAGAATGAGATTACTTGTGTGATTTCAAGATGCTTTTGACAACTAAGAAGGCAAAGTTTAAGATTTGAAATAAAAATAAGAATATATTTGATACTCTTCAGGCATTACAAGCACCAGCCTGCCATGAAAACATGGTGAAGGTGGGAGGATACATTCTAGGAGAATTTGGTAACCTAATTGCTGGAGATTCTAGATCTAGGTAAGTAATCTCCAGAGTACTTGTGTTTTAAGTAGAAATAAGGAATTCATTTGTAAAAATTAAAGTGACTTGTCATTGTTCTTAATTTTCGTGGTTTTTCCAAAAATTCCTATTGTGTGGACACTTGATTACATAGTAAACATAGATCTATAAATCTACTTGTACACACCTATTGCAGTTCGTAGACATATGGACTCATTGGTAAAGAGTACCCACAAAATCAACGAAATTCTTCGCTAAAATTTATGTTTTTAAAGCAGTGTACATTGATGAGGTGTGTGACTAAGTTATGCTTTCTCTTTCCAGTCCCATTGTACAGTTCCAGCTTTTACACTCCAAATATCACTTATGTGGACCAGGCACACGGGGTCTCCTACTCTCAACATACATCAAGTTTGTTAACCTGTTTCCAGAAATCAAGAACAGCATACAAGATGTGAGTTGGACTTAAGCTCTTCCTGGAAACCTTTTTCTTTAACTTGTTTTTGGTTTCATGACTTAAAATTCATATCACAATATACTGCACATTCCTATTCAATTTGTACTCATGGTCAAAGAAATATGTGAGTTTTAAAGAAATGAAACATTATGATGACATTAACAGAGTTTGTGATAATAACAGAAACAAAATCATAATTTATGTGATATTCACAGAAAATATATTATTATAGAACAATTGACATTAACTGAAGATGTAATATTAAGAACCATGATGAAAAATGTTGGTAAAACATGACAAATTTCTCTAGGTTCTGCGAACTAACAACAACCTGCGGAACTCAGAGGTAGAGCTTCAACAGAGAGCTGTGGAATATTTACAGCTGAGTACAGTGGCCTCAACTGATGTCTTGGTATGTGTGTAACCTGAGTGCAAGTTTTGTCATCCATCATCAAAGTAGTCTTCTTGAGATGTTTAAATTATTTTTGAAGTCTGTTTTTGAAATTTTATGGGAAAAACCCCAATAGAATGAAGTAATCTCTTCCAAGAAAGTTGTTGATTATTGAAATATACTCTTTTTTTTAAAATATGCTTTTCACTTGTGTGTCTTATGAACAATTTTCGAGATTGCAAGTGGTTAACATTGCTTGCGGACTTTTAGTCCCCGAGGTTTGCTGTAACCTGCATGCCACGTTTTTAAATTACTCTAAGCAGTGGCACTGTTTGGAATGTACACATGTACTTGACATTCTTAGGAAAATATCAGATGTATGAAAATTACAAAATTAATATCATTGTGGGGCCAATGCACCTCCTCATTTATCCCAATCACTTTGGATTTTCCTCATTAGCCTCCTAGATTTCAAAATTTATGCCTTTAGCATCACTGATGAGTCCTCGAAGGACAAAATACCTGTACATCATTTCAGTCATTATTTGGCTCTACTGAATCTTAGCTCTTAACTTGTAATATAAGTTGCTTTTTACTTGTGTTTTTGTACAATCATTGAGTTACATTTGTTGTATTTTGATTTTAGGCAACTGTTTTGGAAGAAATGCCACCTTTCCCAGAGCGCGACTCTTCAATTCTTGCCAAGCTGAAGAAGAAGAAACCATCTGGAGTACCTGAGGGGACAGAACCAAAAGAACACAAGATCCCGCAGGCTCATATGAGTAACAGTTTAGATACACCAGCAGCTGCTCCACAAGACACTACATCACCAGTGAGTCATGCTTTACCCTCACTCTACCATTATAAACATGGGTTTTGTTTAAGTTTTCCAAACAGTTACTGTAATTCAGAAAAATGCAAGGATTCATTCTTTAATTTGCAGTTTTGACGCTACATTTATTTGTTCTTTTTCTTCAATATTTCCATTCATCTTTATGTATTTTCGTTTTTCTAGTTATCGGTGCCAATCTCACCACCAAGTAGTTCAGGATCAGTTGATCTGCTTGGCCTAGGAACGCCTACAGCGCCCTCTGGTGGAGGCGGTGATGGTGGAATGAGTGGTCTATTGGTGGATGTGTTTGGTGGAGTGACCAGCAATGGGACGGACTCTAACTCAAGTCTGACACCTGGAGCAGAGGAGGGCTACCAGAAGTAAGTGTATTTGGAGACATGGAGACTGATTTAAATAAGTGATAAGTGATTATTATTCATTTCACATACCAAATCTACATAGTAAATATATTCAAGTGGCTTGCTTTTATTTCAACAAGTCCTTGTGTTCTCTGGTATATTGGATATGAATTGATCAAATCATGGATAGGTTGCAACACTCAGGTGTGGTATAAATAAACTTATTGGGTTTTCTCCCTTCCTGAATTTAGGCTGAAAAAAATGTGCCATTTAATGTTGAATTTCTGAAATTATGGAGTTTTACAAATAATTCAGAAGATCCAGGAAATTTTTGAACATGGCTATCCTTGATGATGTTAAGAGTAAAAAAAAAAATGAATATATTTCCTGTACAAATTAAGAAACCCCAAATTCAGTAGCTGGTCACATTTTAAATATGCCATTTTAAATTAATTTGTATGTAACACTGTTTAATAGTTAGCATTTCTTCAAAATTCTGTTTCAATCATTTTGGATGTATGTTTTCATGATTTTGTTTGTAGGTTTGTTTGTAAGAACAATGGGGTACTCTTTGAGAATGATCTTCTACAAATAGGAGTGAAAACAGAATTCAGGGCCAATCTTGGACGTCTAGGAATTTTCTATGGCAACAAAACCTCATTCCAATTTACTGGGTTTCAAGTTGAAGCCCATCTGTCTGATGACCTTCAGAACAATATCCTTTTATCAACTGATTTGTTCAGATGTCTTCGAGTCATTTCGGCTTGCGTGATAAGTTTATATATTATCTAGTTTAGAGTTTAGGTGTTTCATTCACACTCTGAGGAATGAATATTGATGTTTTATTACATGGAAAACATTTTGGCAGATATTTTCAATTCGAAACATTGTAATTATGGAAAATTTAAATGATTTATTGACTCACTAAGACAAAAAATTTATATTTGTAACCATATTTCACCAATAAAGTATCATTTGTGTCACATTTAAATCTTAATTGAGGATGTTGAAAACTCGTGATATTTAATCTTTTTTGAATTTACTCAACAGTTAAAGTAAAAAATATTATTTGTAGAATTGTATATTTCCTGAATGCCCTCTTCGTTTATATTAAAGAATATAAATTGACAAGAATGTTGTGCCTTAATAGTGTGTTGAAAACACAATCTGTATTGAGTATTTTATCCTTAATTTGGGGCACAGATAACATGTCAGCAGAAGCCAGTGGGAACTGTCGTGGATAGTGGAGCACAGGTCCAGCAGGTTATCAACATAGAAATCATTTCTGAGTTCACCGAAGCACCAACGCTTCAGATATCATTCCTGTAAGTGATTAAGGAAAGTCATAGAAATCATTTCTGAGTTCACTGAAGCACCAACGCTTCAGATATCATTCCTGTAAGTGATTTAGGAAAGTCATAGAAATCATTTCTGAGTTCACCGAAGCACCAACGCTTCAGATATCATTCCTGTAAGTGATTTAGGAAAGTCATAGAAATCATTTCTGAGTTCACCGAAGCACCAACGCTTCAGATATCATTCCTGTAAGGGATTTAGAAATCTTATGAAATATTTGTGGGTTCTTTCTGCTGCTATATTGCATGTTTTTGTCTGTACAAAGTGTAGATTTCCTCTGAAGATGTTCTTATAGAAAAGTGTGTGATAATAGCAAGCACACTCCAGTACTGTAATGGAGAAATTTGGAATGGCTGTAAATATATTGTCACAAAATTGAGTCTTCGATTATTTTTAACATTGCTATCTGGATGGACGATAATATTACCGCACATAAAAGACAGAAATCTTGCTTGTTTATATATTTAGTTGTGTTGTCATGCTCTACTTGTCTTGTTAACAGATATAGTGGTGTTGTCGTGCTCTACTTGTCTTGTTTATATATATATAGTTGTGTTGTCATGCTCTACTTGTCTTGTTTATATATGTAGTTGTGTTGACATGCTCTACTTGTCTTGTTTACAGATATAGTGGTGTTGTCATGCTCTACATATCTTGTTTACAGATATAGTGGTGTTGTCATGCTCTACTTGTCTTGTTTACAGATATAGTGTTGTCATGCTCTACTTGTCTTGTTTACAGATATAGTGTTGTTGTTATACTCTACTTGTCTTGTTTACAGATATAGTGGTGTTGTCATGCTCTACTTGTCTTGTTTACAGATATAGTGGTGTTGTCATGCTCTACTTGTCTTGTTTATATATACAGTTGTGTTGTCATGCTCCACTTGTCTTGTCTATATATATAGTTGTGTTGTCATGCTCTACTTGTCTTGTTTACAGATTTAGTTGTGTTGTCATGCTCCACTTGTCTTGTTTACAGATATAGTGGTGTTGTCATCCTCTACTTGTCTTGTTTACAGATATAGTGGTGCTACACAGAGGATCAACCTGAAGCTGCCGGTGATGCTGAACAAATTTGTAGATGCAGCGGAAATGGACTCGGCAACATTTTTCACAAGATGGAAGGCACTTAATAAGTGAGTATCAGTGTTGAATCTGGTCTTATACAACACACCATTAATACAGTATCAAAGTAAGTATCTAAAATCAATTTGAAGTAAAGAAAACGACTCAAATCTTGACCCGATCTGTTTCAACCCTACACCTATCATGAAAACAAAAGGATGGAAACCAATTAATCTTAGTTTTTTTGTCTGTTCTCTGGTTGTGTGTATTTTGCAGATTTTACCTCTGCTATGCAAATTTTAAGGACCTATCATTCACCCTGGTCCATCAAAGTCATTAATTTTGTAAAGAAATAAACAAGTAGTAGATATTGACAAAGAATATAATATTATAAGCAGTTTGTCCTAGAAATGTAGTTGATGCTTTTGAAGACATGACAAAGCTTTTTTCCACTCTTAGCCAGAGCAAGGGTTCATTTTCTTGTATCTTGTCTTTATTTCAGTCCTAATCAAGAATGCCAGAAAATATTCAAGGCTAATTTTGCAATGGATTCAGAACAAATTAAAACTAAGGTCAGTAGCATCATCAGATCTCTAGATCTCTTTTATGCACTGTGATTGATACATTTTTTATATAAGTGGAAAACAGTCATGCTTATTCTCAGAAATGTATAGCCAACATGTGATATCAATGATCACACTCAATTGTGGAAATAAGCAATTAACTTTTGGTGTTTAAAAATCATTCTTAATGTAGTATATGTGTAATTGACTTTTGGTGTTTAAAAATCATTCTTAATGTAGTAAATGTGTAATTGACTTTTGGTGTTTACTGTCACGCTCATTGTGGAAATAAGCAATTAACTTTTGGTGTTTAAAAATCATTCTTAATGTAGTATATGTGTAATTGACTTTTGGTGTTTATTGTCACGCTCACTGTGGAAAATATGCTATCAATGTAATGGGAGTGTACAATCATCATTTGTTGTTTAATATAATCATGCTCAGTATTGAAAACACATTATGTGAAAAATCAATGATGTACATATTGGCCCTCTTATTAGCATTTTTTCTGGCCGTTGACTATAAATGTTGTTTTATGATACTTTGACACTTAAAAAAGAGACTGAACCACAGAATTAGAAAAGCTGAAATATATATATATTACACAGGTTGTTCTAAATATTTAAGAGCTTACTCTTGTCCAGCTACAACTGTGAACGTTTTATTTTACAGTTATTAGGGGGAGGATTTAGCGTATGTGAAAATATTGACCCGAATCCAGACAATTTTGTGTCAGCTGGTGTACTGCACACAAGATCGGCGCAGGTTGGCTGCCTGCTGAGGCTAGAACCAAATAAACAAGCACAGGTAGGTCTTCTGGTTGACAGGTAACACACCTGGTTTTACAGGTGAGATATCTCTTGCCAATGGGGTAAGTTATCTGTCAAAGCCTGGGTAAGTTACAGGTCAAATGAAATATCCAAATAAATCAGCCTTTTATCATTGTATTTATAATATTTGATGAGTGAAAAATTTAATTTATACTTTTGATGTCAAGGAACTTCATTTTGTATCCAATAAATGTGTCTGGATTCATCTGGATTACTTGAATTATTTTGTATAAATCATATGGTCAATGTGTAACATTACAGAATTTCTTGAGAATTGTAGAATAGTGATGGCTGGATTTGTTATGTTTCTGTTATACACAGCAAGTTAATTGTGTTCATTCAAGGTTAGAGAAGTCAGGCTCTTCATGGCAGAGGAATGCCTGAAAGAAAGGATATCCTGAGGCGTTAATTTTTTTTCTCATTTCAGATGTACCGACTGACGATAAGAACGAACAAGGATGGCATAGCAAACATGTTATGTGATCTCTTTGAGAAGCAATTTTAAAATTTCGGACATAGTATGGAAAGGGGAGCAACTCTTGTTTCATGCAAAAAAAAAAAAAAAGTCTCGGTTCCACAGATTGGGAGTGGATGCGCCCAGAGAATGTTAACCAGGAATATCCCATTGCTCTGTGTAGTGAATGGGATGGACAAGATATAAAATGGTTTAGTGAGAGAATGTTTTCTATAGTTAATGTGTATATCACTCCCGTATATGTAAACTTGTGAGAAGTGTTTGTTACAGACTGATGGCGGAGAAGCATGTATGTATGGGGTGGTTAAGTATATATATGTTAAGCCTTGTGAATGTCGTCTTTCCATGTGTTTGTATATTAGTCATGTAATGGCGTTGTCAATACTCACATGGTCACTTCTCTGTACTTCCTCCCTTCAGTGTTGCCATTCCTGGCCCTCGATTTCCTCTTGGGAAACTTGTGTGGAATTTTTCGTGGATTTTTTTTTTTTTTTTTTTTTCGCGAGTGACTCTGATTCAAAAGAAGCCATAGTGCAAAGTGATCTCAGCAAAATGAGAAAAAAAATTGGAAACATTCCAAAACATCTTCATTTTAAAACCTACAGGCATTCTTTTTGTCACTCAGAAATCGTGACAAGAATTCCCATTGTGAAAACAAGATTGCTTGAAATACTGTCTCTCGATCTGTTCCAGCTATCCAGCGACAGATATTGCAAGACATGTTGATGTTATTTCTGTAGACATAATTGTCTATAGTTCCCTTCACTTTGTAGCAGCTAACAAGTCTGGAGTTGCATGCCCCTTGTATTATTTCTTTGCCCTTTATTCTTGTAGTTGTTGACACCATTATGTTTCCTACTTTGTCTTTATATTTAATCCATCAGTGTTCATGAAGCCCGAATCTGCCTGTGAAAAATCCCAACCTAAACAATTCCTGTTCTAAACTAACTAAATTATGTTCATTACAAAGACAGTAAGTTGTTGCATTTGAAAATTAGATATTAGATCAAGACAATGGTTTATCTTAGTTGTCTAGTTAAAAAATGTAGCCAGAATTAGATAAAAATAGGTAACCATGGATACATGTAACTTGTTGTTATAACTGTATTTCATAGATTGTCATTTGTCTGTGATTTGAAGTGATTGCTCTAAGCTTTTGTCTACAGTCGGTAATTCATTCTTGTAAAATGTGTTCTTGTGATACTTTCTCTATTGATATTGTGTACAGATGTAACTGGAACATGAGGTTAAGGATCAAAGGTCAGGGGTCAGGAAAAGATTGAATGTTTAGAACACAGAAATAATTGATATTAGATAAGTGTCAAGGGTTGTGATGTTGATTGAAATTAGTTGTATGAAGACTGACTGTCCAAGGGCCCATTTCATGGAACACACAGTGTTGAAGTTACTACAAGGTAATCAGAGACCACAGTAACACATCAGATTGTGTAAGGACACAAATATTATTTTTTGGTCTGTTTAAGTAGTGAATTAAAATCAAACTCAGCATATGATTTTTTAAAATTCTGAGCACTTCGTTGGCATCAGATTTTGTGTTTACCCTAAACACCATAGAGGTTTACACAGTGACGGCTTTTGTGTACCTATATTTCAGGTGTATGGTTACCATACCATTACCATTGTTCATCAAAACTTACTCAAATGGACAAACTGAAGTCTGTTGGTTCAACACAAGGTGTTCTTAAGATAATTCTACTGTAATTTATTAATTAATGTATGTCAAGTGAAGAATAGGTTCATTTATTTTTCAAATATCCCTAAATATAACTACTTACATTGTACTCTTGTGTGGACTGAAGTCAAGGTTTGAGGCAATATCTTTGTATATTTTTTAGGGGTAACTAACACATGCAGTGTGAGTTGGTAGTCTAGTGTCTGGGCTGTCCGTCTTCTGAACTATTTGTTCACATATATATATTATGTTGATTTGAGTAACACTGTGCTTCCGATAACTTCTTTTTAACAAGCATTTGAAAATGTGTGTTTGTTCTAGCTCTATGTCTATATATTATCATTCCACAGGTTCATTATAAAACCTGTTATTTTCATACTAAAGATTGGTGTGAGACTGTGCTGTTATAAGAAACCTGTGCTATCTGATATAAAACACATACTAATACTGTTGTTTATTGTAAGACGTGTGTTAGTTGCTTAAAGACACACGTGCCTCCTGCTATAAGACACCTGTTATATCTGTTTAAGACATGTCTGCTATTACTTATCTTGAAATTTATTGGTATTTCTAACAGTAGATTTTTGGCTTTCATAGGCATTAACAACAGTTTGAATGATAGACTGAAACATATTCTGATCTCCCTGCCTGCAGAAATATGCTGTAACAACTGTCATATTTCAGTATATCACTCTTTAATATGGGGGAAACATGATAAAATAAACAAATAATTGAAGTTTATATATTTTTCTGATATCTCTAAACCTATAACAGTTTTTTCTGTTTTTGTGTTGTACTTGTTTCTCAGCTACAACAGAAGATGACGTCTGTCTTATGGTGATTTCATGTTCAATCTAAAGAGAGTGAAAGGATGTAACAGTTGTTAGATTGCCTGCAAGATTAGCTTGTCACGATGTGAATAACTTAGGTGTTAGATATATTGAAGCAGATTAAGTGTTTGATGACAAATAAGTGCTGGTAGTTTGGGGAAGATATCTGTGTATTGAATTGATTCCCTATACCTTCATTGTTTAGTTAGTGCTAATGTACACAAATGGTGATGACACAGGACGTTGTAGTTGTTGTGGTGTTGGTGTTGACGTGACAAGCGAGTGTAATTGTACCCTAGTATTGATATCATTACACCCTCACAGCATTGTAGGCACTCATATAGCATCTTGTGATGTTCAAATCATCAATTCACAACACAGGTAATTGGTGCATCTTTTTGTTCTTTTTCTACTTTAATATTCTGAACCAAATTTCTGACGTTTTAGTTGATTTTGTGATACTTCCTATAGAGGTATCAGTTTCATTTGTTCTCAATAATGTTTCACTCACAAATTCTTGTTTGAAATAAGCCTTATGGAAATTGCATTAAGCAGTGTGAATCTTGTGTTGTATGTACAGATGAAATTGTCCCAACATACCTATAGATATATATACATGTATGTTTGATATTTGTAATACATTTTGCAAGTGGTCCAACCTTGTCATGGAAACTACTTTGCCTGCCAACAGGCTGTCGCAGGACAAAAACTTTACCCGATTTAAGCGTGCAATACTACAGCTCATTGTGTTAATATTTAGAGGACTGAAAAAATGCTCCGCCATTGTTTGTGTATGTTAGTGCAGTTATTGGTAATTAACTATGTTATTGGGATATAGGGATACTGAAACTGTTTTTACTTGACCTTTAAACTTAGGGTTAACAGGTCACATAATATAGTGAACTATGAACTCTCATCAAGTAGTGCTGTGGTTGTTGTTTAACATGAAACTCTCATCTGTTCTTGCTGTGTTATGTATTTTGGTCACATGAATCTGAGGTCAAAGTTTATATGTTAACGTTGTTGACGTCATACAAGATGATATACATATGTAGTAAGCCCCTTATTTGTACAAAAAATGTCATGTAATTAGCCCATATTTGTTTTGCCGGAAACATGGTGGTATGGAGAGGGGACCATGGACTGATCTCCGGCAAGGCTGACTTGTAATCTTAGGCAGACATTGTATATATACAGCATATATTAAATAAACTCAACATCCTACATCATCTCCATGTGTTTGTATTGTCTCCATGAAATGAAGTGGCATTCTGCGTATACTGTTGTATAGAACACTGTGCGGTGTCGTAATCTGTGATCCATACGCTGTCACCTTTTCTATTTGAACAACTTCATAATAACCAAGAGACAACAGTTACTGATATTGACCCTTTAGTACGCTGGGATAGAGGGCTACTAAGTTTGTTCAAATGCATGACCTTGACCTACTTCAGAGTCCCATAAGTCAAATGTGTTAAAATCTAGAAAAATATCTTGTCAATAACCAAAAAATCCAGGATACTTACATGACATTGATTATGTAGCATGCTGGGATAAAGGGCTACCAAGTTTGTTTAAACGAATTACCTAGACCTGCTTTCAAGGTCACATTGGTCAGATGTGTAAAAAATTAATTGACTTAAATTGAATATCTGAAACGCCCAGTGTTCTGATATTGGGCATGCAGCATGCTGTGATCAGGGACTAATAAGTTTGTTCCAATTAATGACCTTTATCCACTTTCAAGGTCATACGTGTCAAACTTTTAAGAACTTCTTTTTAGCAAGCAGTAGGTCTTCAGTGTAGCATTTACACTTCTGAGTTTGTATAAAAGATCCAAACAAACTGTCTTCTGTGTAAGCTGCAGATTGGGTAAGGGATTCAAGCCCAATTGTTTAAGGACGGCTAAAGGTTATCTGTCACCCAATAACAAATACTGGAAATGATTGAACAAAATACATTTTGTGGTTACGACATAATTGTTACCGACTTTGACTTGTGATTTTGGCATATAACTCGTTTCTTCCTGCTCCTACACCAGCTGACGGCAGATATTTTGCCGAAAATATGACTGGTGTTGAAACTCGGACTGAGGAAGAATTCGAATATGTGCCATCAAAGTCTGAAACGGAGCCCATACTGACGAAGAATTCGGAGTAGTGATATCAAAGGTTGAAACGGAGCCCATACTGACGAAGAATTCGGAGTAGTGATATCAAAGGTTGAAACGGAGCCCATACTGACGAAGAATTCGGAGTAGTGATATCAAAGGTTGAAACGGAGCCTTTACTGACGAAGAATTCGGAGTAGTGATATCAAAGGGTTGAAACGGAGCCCATACTGACGAATTCGGAGTAGTGATATCAAAGGTTGAAATGGAGCCCATACTGACGAAGAATTCGGAGTAGTGATATCAAAGGTTGAAACGTAGCCTTTACTGACGAAGAATTCGGAGTAGTGATATCAAAGGTTGAAACGGAGCCTTTACTGACGAAGAATTCGGAGTAGTGATATCAAAGGTTGAAACGGAGCCTTTACTGACGAAGAATTCGAAGTAGTGATATCAAGGGTTGAAACGGAGCCTTTACTGACGAAGAATTCGGAGTAGTGATATCAAAGGTTGAAATGGAGCCCATACTGACGAAGAATTCGGAGTAGTGATATCAAAGGTTGAAACGGAGCCTTTACTGACGAAGAATTCGAAGTAGTGATATCAAAGGTTGAAACGGAGCCTTTACTGACGAAGAATTCGGAGTAGTGATATCAAAGGTTGAAACGGAGCCTTTACTCATGAAGAATTCGGAGTAGTGATATCAAAGGTTGAAACGGAGCCTTTACTGACGAAGAATTCGGAGTAGTGATATCAAAGGTTGAAACGTAGCCTTTACTGACGAAGAATTCGGAGTAGTGATATCAAAGGTTGAAACGGAGCCTTTACTGACGAAGAATTCGGATTAGTGATATCAAAGGTTGAAACGTAGCCTTTACTGATGAAGAATTCGATGTAGTGATATCAAAGGTTGAAACGGAGCCTTTACTGATGAAGAATTCGAAGTAGTGATATCAAAGGTTGAAACGGAGCCTTTACTGATGAAGAATTCGGGTATAGTTATATCAAAGGTTGAAACGTAACCTTTACTGACGAAGAATTCGGAGTAGTGATATCAAAGGTTGAAACAGGGCCCATACTGACGAAGAATTCGGAGTAGTGATATCAAAGGTTGAAACGGAGCCTTTACTGACGAAGAATTCGGAGTAGTGATATCAAAGGTTGAAACGTAGCCTTTACTGACGAAGAATTCGGATTAGTGATATCAAAGGTTGAAACGGAGCCTTTACTGATGAAGAATTCGGGTATAGTGATATCAAAGGTTGAAACGTAACCTTTACTGACGAAGAATTCGGAGTAGTGATATCAAATGTTGAAACAGGGCCCATACTGACGAAGAATTCGGAGTAGTGATATCAAAGGTTGAAACGTAGCCTTTACTGACGAAGAATTCGGAGTAGTGATATCAAAGGTTGAAACGTTGCCTTTACTGACGAAGAATTCGGATTAGTGATATCAAAGGTTGAAACGTAGCCTTTACTGATGAAGAATTCGAAGTAGTGATATCAAAGGTTGAAACGTAGCCTTTACTGACGAAGAATTCGGAGTAGTGATATCAAAGGTTGAAACGTTGCCTTTACTGACGAAGAATTCGGAGTAGTGATATCAAAGGTTGAAACGTAGCCTTTACTGATGAAGAATTCGAAGTAGTGATATCAAAGGTTGAAACGGAGCCTTTACTGATGAAGAATTCGGAGTAGTGATATCAAAGGTTGAAACGGAGCCCATACTGATGAAGAATTCGGATTAGTGATATCAAAGGTTGAAACGGAGCCTTTACTGATGAAGAATTCGGATTAGTGATATCAAAGGTTGAAACGGAGCCATTACTGACGAAGAATTCGGATTAGTGATATCAAAGGTTGAAACGGAGCCATTACTGACGAAGAATTCGGATTAGTGATATCAAAGGTTGAAACGGAGCCCATACTGATGAAGAATTCGGATTAGTGATATCAAAGGTTGAAACGGAGCCATTATTGACCAAGAATTCGGATTAGTGATATCAAAGGTTGAAACGGAGCCATTACTGACGAAGAATTCGGGTATAGTGATATCAAAGGTTGAAACGGAGCCCATACTGATGAATTCGGGTATAGTGATATCAAAGTTTGAAACGCAGCCATTACTGACGAAGAATTCGGATTAGTGATATCAAAGGTTGAAACGGAGCCATCACTGAGGAAGAATAAGGATTAGTGATATCAAAGGTTAAAACGGAGTCATTACTGATGGCTAGTGATATTAAAGGCTAAAACAGAGCCCATGCTGACGAAGAATTCGGATTAGTGATATCAAAGATTGAAATGGAGCCTTTGCTGTGAAACATTTGAACACTGCGGCGAATATGGTTGGATACACCAGATTGTAGTATTACAAGAAACAGCATGGACATGGACAAACGCGTATCAATCTTTGGCAATTTATAAGCAATTTGTCTCGTACCATGACGATGCAGTGATTGCGATCATTTACTTTAGTACACATTCTAAAAATATCGAGAAAGAAATTAAAAATTATGTTTTTTAACAAACAATTATCAACGCGGGTAATTTAATAGCATCCCCGAACCCCAATCTAAAATGATAATTAAACAGTTTATCAATAACGTTTTTTCCAATCTACATCGCATCTATGAACCCGCACCCCATTCAATCCCTACATCAAACTCACACAAGATTGATGCTCAATCTGAAGGGACAAAAATGTGACATTGGGTCACAGTTTGATTTTGAATAATATGCCACAACCAGCATAAATTAACATTATCAAAGGAGAATCAATCTTCGAGTAGGAAAGTTCTAATAAATAACATGTTGTGCTCGTGAATTAAAACGGAAAACCTTCGTCTTCCTAAATCGATCATTTGTGAAGATAGATGATAACGAAAATAAAAGGTTTCATACAATTTGATTTTTATTTTAGTTTTTTTTTCAATATTGACAGTATATATTTCATGTAGACAGACTTACCTGCCCTTGACGTTGGGTGCAACCCCTTAAAATCCTGTGATGCAAACTACTTTTAGAGCTAGTCATATGATTTTCTATGGTGACTTTAATCAGTCGAAGTTTTGTTTCGGCCTGTTCATCATTTTGGTCCTTTGTTCTTCCTTAGGCCAAACTGCCCAGCATATTCTTATCTATCCTGGACCAGAACATACTAATAGTCATATATTGTTTAGATCCATAAAAGGCCAAAAGTCATGATTGGAGAATAGATCTTTTGAAATTCATCCGAGCATTCGTGGTGATTAACACTTAGGATTAAACTTCAGAAATAAACGAAAATTTATAGTACATGCAATTGTTGCACAAGCTTTTGAGCGGAAAGTACAGTTCTCAAACTAACCCGTAAAGGGCCATAACTCCCAAGCAACAGCTATAACAAACTTTCATCGTCAAAATCCAAGATGGCTGCATGTCAACCATTTTGTAATTAGGTAACACGAGAGCCTACATATGTTTGAGAAAGATCTTCGAACACAAGGGGATTTAAATTATCCACCATCTGATGATGGTAGGCAGAAAATTGAGTCTATATCACGGTTGTCTTAAAAAATGCTTTTGCTTCAATTTTTTGTAAAACGACGAAAAAATTAACCAACGGAAAATATTGTATTTGATAAATAAAGGATTTGAAGTCTTTTAAACCTTTGGATTGATTGATTCAACAGAGTAGCACATGCCTCACACTAGACAACTAACAATAGAACAGATATTGTCCACACGTGATTATGTATGATGTAATTTTTTACAACGAGGAATTTACGAATTCTTGTCTGCCTGCCTACGCCAACCGACCGACCCCGACCGTTAAAGTCCGTGTTCTCATTGTTACGTATTATTGCGTAAATACGTGTATATGTGTTGATAATTTTGACAATAAAACACGCCGAATATAATCTACACTACCCAGAACACGGAATACTGATTTCTGTCAACAAGTATTGTTACTATTGTTTATAGCTACCATGATCAGACAATAAGCCGTATTCGCCTTTTCATCGTTCCCATTGTGTCGGCGAGGTGTATTAGCAGTCGTGTGTCTCGAGTCGCAGATCCTGTCGTTGAGATTAGAAGGTCAAAGCCGTTCCGGTGACTTCAGAGATTTAGAGAA